TGTACCGGGGTTTGCCTGATGTATTTCTGCATCACTGCTGTTCACCTTGCAAAAATCCTTTTTGGTCCCAGCTGTTATTTTCAGGAACTGACAAGTAGGTTTCTGTAAATAAATCAAAGCTATCCTGAACATGGACGTAGCCCTTCATCAAAAGATGATGAAAAGGCAAGAAATAGATAGCAGAACATATCCCAGCCTGTGTGGAAGCTGACTCTTGTCAGTACGGAGAGATTTTAACTGAAAGAGAAGGGAAAATAGCAAGAAAAAAGTTTCTGAAAATTCTTTCCTGGTTGGTCCTCCTGTGCTCTGTGTGAGGGGATGGTGTAGCTCCAGGATTTGTGAGGGGGTGATGGAAAAGGCAGTTAAACCACTTACTCAGAGTGTAAACTTGCTACCTTCACAGCAGTTCTCTGAAAGGCCACATTGTAGGTACTTGCTACAGGGGAGTCTGCTGGCAATATATAATTTGTTTACTAAACAGCTAACGTAATTGAAATGTCCCTTTTGAGTTAATGAAAATATAAAACAGCTTTCCAGAGTAGACCGAGGCCTCTAATTTAATTATCTGTGAGCCTCATAGATTAAAAGTATTCTTTCATCCATTCCTGGCAGCCTGAAGGAGATGAGTAACTGAAATTCAAAGAAAAACCTTACGAAAAGGAGACCTGGCAGATGAAAGAGCAAAGGGACAAACCATTTGTAAAAGGATTTATCTTCACTGAGATGCCCATTGTCTTTACAGCAGCTAATTATATGTGAAAACAATTAAAGATTTGGAAGCTGTATACCCATTAAAGGGCCAGGGGTCCCCATCGCCTGCAGGAAGAACAAGCTAGCTCTTTGAAATACTGCTTGCTATGTATCAGTGGAGTTACTCTTGAAGGGTACATTGCAAGCGGTGGCTTTAAGCACATGAGCAGTTGCCAGAAAACCACCAGTAGCGGTTGTACAAGTAGCATTGAGCTTGCTGTGTTGTTGTTTGCAGAGTCAGTCCTTCAGACCACGGATCCAGTCCCAATGCAAGGCCTCGAGTGATGCTGCCCCACCACTGCGAAGGCATCCAAAGCTCAGGCACATCTTTGGTGCAGTGGGGTCTGGTGTATCCTAATGGTGCGTGAGCTGTCTGCTTTGAGCGTTGAAGCATTTTTGCTCTTGTGTTAGCCAGAGGCTGATGTAGCTCCTGAAATACGACAGCTATTCTTGCGCACTTTTGTCCACCTTCACATTGATGTCTGTTCCTGCTGTGTGTGTTAGAGCAGCCCTTGCCACCCAGCAGAGACTCTGGTTTCCATAAGGAAATGCAGAGCATTTAGACTGAGTTTGCAGAGGAAGCCTGTGGCTGAGCAAGACATGAATGCAGGTCTCTTCTGGTGTCATCCGAGGCCCAACCATGATGTTGTTATACAAAAACTTAGGTTTCATCCCTTCCGTACATGAAATATTTTCTGAATTTGGAAAGGTAAACCAGAGAGGTGCATATGGGAAAAAGTGAGGTTTGCAGTTCATGCGGTGAGTTATGTGAGGAGCAAAGAGGTTTACGAGTAGCAAAAAGGATGCTTCACTGCACTTCGGGTTTTTTTTGTTAGAATACATTCTCCCCTTTCAGGTTTGTACTTGAAGACTTTGATCTAGAGGCATAGTGTGTCCAGGAAAGAAAGAAAACAAGTTTCCTTCTGTTATAAACATTTATAACAGTCATTGTTTATAACTTCATTGACTTGAAGTGGGATTTCACCTTGGAATATAAGCAGTTACCCCATCTGAGATGAGCAGAACATGGAGAGAGGGCATTGGTACCTGTTGCTTAGAGTTATCTGAAAAAGTGCCCTGAAGATCAGCTAAAAATTTGCTGATTCATTTTATTGTGGTGGGAGGTTTGAGGAGTACTGTTTTTTCCTATCTGTAGTTCATCTAGATTTGATCTAAAATTTTTGACTTTGAAAAAGGGTTGAGTTTGAAGTTTTTTAGAGTGGGTGGTGATTTTATTTGTCTGCAACACAGTTCACTGCACTTTTTGTACATGTGTTGTGGGAACTGAAGCAAAGAAAAAAGAAAAACTGGAGCAAAAATTGTACATGTGCAAGTGGGAACTGGAGCAAAGAAACTATTCCAAGTGCCAGAATTCTGCAAAATTCTGGCTAAGAAGCTGGCCCTAACCATCGTCTGAAATGGTGCCTTTAAAATGTATCTCAAATGATACTTAAATTTACAGAAGTATTTCTTGTTATCTTTATATGTCAGATTTTAAAACCTTTAAAACTTGAACAAATCCTTCACTTAACTGCCTTTAAGCAGCATGTTTTTTGCTTTTATTTTGTAATTTGCTATTATACTCATGCTTGGTATGACACTTGCTTGATCTGGATTAATTTCCCATGCTGATTTGTTCTGAATGTGCCCCGTAGGCTAATGGTATATTTGCAGCCTCTCTTCTTCCTTTGTAGAATTTGCTATTACCATTTACGGGACAGCATGTTCTCTTTGACACTTTCCAGAAGTGCCAGCTGCCTGTTGAACAGCACGGCATCAGCTGTTAAAGCCTGATCCAAGCCCCAGCGAAATCAGGGAACAGTAATGCAAGGTTTTTAAGGAAAGGCAGTATCTTTTATTAGATCAGCTGTTACAGTTGGAAAAAGCCAGATGAGCTTTCAGGCGCACAAATCCTTCTTCAGGTCTGAAATAGCAGCAGTATTGCTTACACCAGCATTCCTTAACAGTGAGACAGCTATGGTCCCAGCAAGGTTTAAAAAATGTGTTTAAGTGTGTATGGCAATGGCCCTTCTTACTGGGGAGGGCCTTCTAGCAAGCATCATTCTCCCCTCTCCCCTTCCCAGTATACACCCTGCAAATAGGGGATACATCCTACAAGGAGGGGCAGTAGAAGGTCACTTACTCTTGAGAAAAAGCCTTCAATACCGTATGACCGAGCCGCATCTTCTCCATACTCGCCCTGCTGTTGTGAAGAACTGGGGCAAAGCCGTGGGCTTCACTGTGCAGGTGGTAACCACAGGATATGTGCTGGAAATTGTGGCTCCTAATGTTTATGTCTGTCCAGCAAATAGTTGTGGGACCAGCTGGCATAATGAATCTTACTCCTTTTCCTGTGGTTGCTTTGCAGGGAACAGTGTTCCCCAAAGTTTCTGGAGTCACAGCTGACTGACTAGACACCTAATAGCAAAACTTGTGTTTGAAAATGCTACACAGGCAGGATGGTTCTGCAGAAAAGCTGTGAGCAGTTTCCCATAGTCTTTGGATTGCTTGTAGTCAAGGAATTGAAAAATAAGAAGTAACAGCCCAGCACGCTGCCTGTTTACTCCAGATTATGGATCTGAACATCCTGCAAATTTTTCATCATATGAGAGATTTCATATTTATCTTCCCTTTTCTTTTCTGGATATCTTCAAAAGTATGTACTAAAATCTTTATAGTTAAAGAAGACAGACAAGTGCTCAAAAATTGTGTTAATAATAACTGTAACATTTATTAAATGTGAACATTAACTGTAACATTTCTGTATTCCCATACTAGGAACTGGGGTGATAACTGTAGTTAATAACTGTGGTATTAAGAAGCTGAGGATGCTTTTTGCTCATGTGAATATTTCCATGGTACATGGCCTGCGAGAACTCTGGATTTTGCATTCTTTCTGGAGTGTATTAATAGACGTGTTAATTATATGGCTTCTCTATTCAGCCCTATTTCAAAATAAAAGGTTATATTTCAAGAAACTGTCACCACAATAAAATTATAAATAAGTACTGATGCTTCTAAAGAAATTAGAAGGATAAACCGTTCATGACTTTAAGCTGATTAACACACAGACATGAACAACTGTTTCAAATGTGGTTTTCCATCTGAATCCATCACTTAAGGCACATTGTACTTAAGGATGTGAATCACCATTCCTGGCTGGGCCACTCCCAGCCTGGCCAACCTTTGATTGATCCCTTTTATATGTTTCTCCAGCTAATGATGTGCCCCCTGACACATGTCCATGGCAAGCAGACTGGCATCAACCATAAAACAGCATAGACAACTGCTTCTCTTTCCCAGAGAAGGTTTTAATGGAGGAGTGATGTAGACAACCGGATTCTCTGGTGAATTTTGAAATTTGTTTAAATCCTTTTAATACCCAGCTGAGATGTTTGGGTTTGAAATCATGGCTGTGAGTGTTACTGTATAACAGGGTTTCCTTTTCTTCGTGTGCACCAAAAGGAAAATTATGAATTTGTCTGTGAAAGACAGGAACTTCATTCTTACTTGAAACTAAGACCTTTCCATATTGCCATCACATTTAAGACACTTCTCTGCTGCCAGAGTAGAAGTAAAAACCAGGATGATCCCCATAACAGTAATTATGTAGCCCTGTGGACTACCACATGTCTAGTCTTCAAAATACAATTCCACATCTGGATTCTGCAGCCAGTAAAGGGCTCTGATCTTTAGACATCTTCTACAGATGGTTTGAAATGTGGATGCAGATCCATCACTGAGTCAGTGCTTCAGATCAACCCAATGTTTAGGTTGGATCTCTTTATAAACTGGCACTTGTAAAACTGGAAGAACAGTGTGAAGGAAGAAGAAACTATGAAAATGTGAACTGCTGAGGAAAAAAGCATCTGCTCCCAAACCACTGTTTCCTACTACCCAGGTTAATATGCCAGATACACATGAATGGTGCACATTACAAATAGACATTTAAGGTCTTTTCCTGCATACTGCAGCTAAATAGCAGCCAGCTCTGTCTCGGTGTTCTTCAACTACTGAATGGAGTAGCCTGTAGTAAGGGAAGGCTGCAGAGAGGGCTAGAAATGGCAGTGCTAATGAGAGCAGCAGATGTCATTGCACTTTATTTCATTTCTGCTGCAGCTGGTTATAAATTCATGTGGGAGATGTCAAAAAGCCAAAGAAATAAAAGTCTTTTGTTCATTTTCTCACCTAGGACTCGACTTTGATGGTAGCTTTGTCTCTTGTTTCACTGAGGCTTTGCTCTTTTTCAGGTGCCAGGAGACAACGAGAAGCACTGGAAGCCAGTGTTAGTGGTCTTGACAGAGAAAGACCTCTTAATATATGAGAGCATGCCACGGATGAAGGAAGCTTGGTTCAGCCCTTTGCATACCTACCCCTTGCTAGCCACCAGGTACTTGTGCTTTTTTATTACAACCGCTTCAAGAGCAGTGGGAACAGCTGAGACAACTAGGAACAGGTATAGCTGGGGCACAGCTATATATCACACTTGAAATGTTGTGGTTTGAGAGGCAGATTCTTCTTCAGTGGGCTGATGTGCTCAGCTTAACTCCTCTCTTCTGTTTCAAGTTCTCGCTGGGGCTGATGGCCAGAAGCACACCAGAAGGATTATGGATGTGGCCATTTGGCCTGGATCCAGAGGCAGGAGTGCTGAAAAAGCTGAGAGCTTGATCTCCTGAGATTTCTTTCTCAGTGTGCAGACCTGAGGGCTTGGCAGAAGCACTCAGATTTTCAGCTGCTCCTCCAGGCTGAAGAAAGTAAAATTGTTGCCCTGAGTTGCACGTGCTGGTGTGGCAGTTCTGTACCACCAGTTTGGGGCTTCTGGAGCATTGCACATGTGATGGAGACAATCTTAGCACGGCTCTGTTCCTGCTCTAGCAGATGAATTTCTGGCTTTTTTAGATTAAAATGGTGAGCTTGGAAGACATATTCTTGAATCTAGGTTGGAAATAATAATCTGCATTATTTTGAAGGTATCCATTCAGAGAGCTTTCCTGTGGTTGTCTTTAGGCAGTGGAAACTGCTTCTTGTTGTGAATCTTAATCACATTTCTCTGCCAGTATGGTCAAAGGGCTTGAGAAAGAGCTGCTGTTCCATTGTTTTGGCCTTGCTACAGGCTTCTATTATACTATTTTCAATGAGTTCTCATTCAGAAGGGCTGGTTGCACATGGCCAAAAGCAGTGAGTTTCTTACTGCACTCTTGTTAGTTAATTTTTGTTCTCAGTGTCTTAGTTCTCTCCCCAGATGAACTGAGGCTTTGCTGCTAAATCATTATATAAAATTGAACTCAGTGAATTACACTGATGGTTGTTTTGTCCCAGTCTACCTACTCGTGATGGAGCTTTCAGAATTCCTGGGAAGCCAGCTTCTGACTCACCCCTTGTTACTGTAACGTGAGGGGAGAGCCCCAAGCGTTGCAGCTTGCAGCCTGATGCATCATGTGGCAGTGAAGGTTGACAATTCCAGGTGACAATTCCCAATGAAAACTGGGCAAAGTGTTGGAGCCGGAGGCTGGATCCGGTTGTCTCACTAAGCCTTAGAGTTTGTGAAGCAAGAGTACCCCAGCAGAAGGTTATACTGCTTTGTGGTGTCATCTGTACACGCAACCAAGTCCTCCTCCTTAAAGTGAATGGAGATCCTGCAGCACACCCTGCCCCTTCCTGCCCACACATCATCACGTGTAAAGGTACCCCTTTGGTGGGCATCACCAGCGCCCATCCTCAGTGACCACTGATTTATGGCAGCAAACAATGTAAGTCCTCATCTTGGAGGGCCTGTTACTTAATGACTTTTACTTAGGAGTTCAGATTTTATAGCAGACCAGCTTGCTTTGAATGGGGATGGTCACGTCCCTGTCAGATAGGATTCCCATGTGAATGGAGGCACTGAGAAGTTGCTCAGCACAAGTGTCAGGCTGCCGAAGGGTCTTTACAGATTGCTAAAATGGTCTGTAAAGAAAGACAAGAGGCAGTTTGGAAAGGATGAGTGCAAAGTTCAGTGCTAGGGAATAATCAGCTGTGGTTGTTTGGCATGGAAAATGAACAAGGAAGTAGTTGCTCTGTCAGGAAGCATCTGGGAAGTGCGACAAAATTGCTTAAGTCTATGGTGTTATGTTTTTGAGAGGGGAAAATAAAGACAATCATCTTGCATTATAGCAGAAGTGTTGTATGTTGCCAGATGTAGTAATTATACCTAACTACAGAGCGTGAGTAAAGCCTCAGGTGATACATCACCTTCATGTGAGACATTGCACTTCAAAAAGATGTCACTTAACTGTGGAAGGTCGAGAAGAAAGCAATGCAAATGCAAGACCTAGAAAACACTATCAGCAGAGGAATACTTACCACAGAATAATAAAATGGTTTGGGTTGGAAGGGACCCTAAAGACCATCTAGTTCAAACCCTCTGCCATGGTCAAGGACACCTTCCACTAGCCCAGGTTGCTCAAAGCCCCGTCAAACCTGGCCTTGAACACTGCCAGGGAGGGGGCAGCCACAACTTCTCTGGGCAACCTGTGCCAGTGTTTCACCACCCTCACAGAAAAAAATTTCTTCCTAGTATCTAATCTAAATTTGCCCTCTTTCAGTTTAAAACCATCACCCCTCATCCTATCACTATCCTCCCGGATAGAGTCCCTCCTCAGCTTTTTTGTAGGCTCTCTTGAAGCATTGGAAGGCCTCTATAAAGTTTCCCTGGAGCCTTCTGTTCTCCAGGCTGAACACCCCCAACTCTCTCAGCCTGTCCTCATAAGGGAGGTGATCCATTCCCCCTGTTAATCTTTGTGACCTGCTTGAGCAGGTCCATGTCCTTCTTACACTGGGGGCCCCAGAGCTGGACACAGCACGGGAGGTGGAGTCTCATGAGAACAGTGTAGAGGGGCAGAATCACCTTCCTTGACCTGCTGGCCACAGCGCTCTTGTTGCAGCCCAGGATATGGTTGGCTTTCTGAGCTGCGAGTGCACATTGCTGGGTCATAGTTTTCCATCTACTATTACTCCCAAGTCCTTCTCTGCAGGACTGCTCTCAATCCACTCACTGCCCAGCCTTTACATGTGCTTGGGATTGCCCGGACACTTGTGTAGGACCTTGCACTTGGCCTTGTATTTGTCCTTGTTACTTAAGAAACCTTAGTTGTTTAATCTAGAGAGGTCCATGGAAAATATGTCAATTGTTTTCAAGTATGAAGATGAGACACAAGGAGGACAAGGGAGCACTTTCTCCAGGTCCCTCCTGGGTAAAACAGGACATAGTTGACTGTATTTGTGGCAGGGGACGGTCGGGGTAGGTCCTGGAAAAAACTTGGTGGGTGGGTGGGGTATTGGATTAGATTCTCTAGAAAAGTTGTATGATCCTCATCACTGTGAACTTCAAAGGACGGATGACACTAACCCTCAGGAGTATGTTGGCACAGTTAGCCCAGCTCTGGGAAGGGGAATGCACCGGCTGACCTCCTGAGAACCATTCCAGCCCTATCTCTGTGCTTCCTTACTAATATCACTGTGAATTTAACACTCAGGTAAAAAGACTGCAGAAATTGACATTCAGAATGGAATCGCAATCTGATAAATACATGTAAATACATGAATCCCCAAGGTGAGCAGATTACATAAATGGATAGATCCCTAAATCATTACGCCTACTGTTTTGGACAATTTTGATTAAACCCTGCAGGATCCTCCTTTTATCATCTGTCACACTGAGTACAGTTATACCAAAAAATACACAGGGTTTGTTGTTGGTATTGACTGCTGTGTTCATGCTTGGTCAGTGATTGTCTTCCTCGTGACGGGTTTTTTAATCCCCTCTGTGCATTGATCAGTGCAATTTAGAACTTTTCACCTGGAAAGTTTGCAGACCACATGTTGTAATCTTGGCTGCTCCCATCCTTCAGATTTTTATGAGTCCTTGGGAAAACGTTTTTGCTTAGCTAATGCATATTTGAAAAGCTGCTGAAACTGGAAAACTTCAGTGCCAGATACTGTACAGAGTCATGCTTAATCTACCCAAGACGTAATGAGCAGAGAAAATTGGAAAGTAGTAGAAGGATTACAATCTTCTTACAGCATTTAAACAGCAGAATTTCAACATGCCCTTTTTGTTTGTTGATAAGTTTGCCTTCAACCTATGGAGGCTATTAAGATCTAAAAATATTTTCCAGTCAGTCTTTCCCAGCTTTGTGTGGAATATAAGTAATAGCTCAAATAAAACTGAGATCAGGAGATTTAAGTTGTTCCTTTAAATCTCTGCACCAGGAGGCACAGCAGCTGGCTCATAGCCCTGACTCCAAGGACCTTTTTGTCATAATCTCTGTTTCAGTATTTCCTTATGCCTGAATAACAGTGCCTCCCTCTAGCATGGGAATGGGGCTTAAATAATTACATCTTAAACGTTTGCAATCAAATTCCGTTATCTATCATAGCCAGATATGAAATGAAAGGGGGAAAAAAAAAAAAAAAAAAGCCAGGCCATGTTGGATTCTGATTAAAGATCAGGTAAGTAGCTTTTGTGTAAAGGTGAGGTCTGTAATCAGAAAGTATTAAAACAGTTTGATAGTTAAAGCTGTGGAAAGTTGGGGAAGGAGTTTGGGCACCAATTAGTTACCTGTGCAAGTGGGCAGAGGGACAGGTGGAGAGCACTGGGGTCCCCAAACACCCCAGGGAAGGTGTATGAAGTGCTGTGCAGGTTGTCTGCTTTCCTCCCAGGGCAGTGAGGGTGGTGTGGCTCCCTCCATACAGAACTCAGATGAATTGAGAGCGTGTGTTTCCAAAGAGTACAGGAGTAACAGAGCAGGTTTCAAATGCTAAGTAAGGGTAAAGAGTGGTTTCAAGATAAGAAAGGTCACATGATAGTAGCTTTCTACTGGGCAGAGCTGCATGTCTGTTGATGCACTTGTATTAAGGTCTCGTTTGAGATAACTCTCAGATGAGTGGCTAAACTCTTGCATTGAATGTCAGTGATGGTTTCACTGTCCTGTTTGAAGAGGTCCTTAGGTTTTGTTGTTGCAGTAAATAGTTGAAACTCTTTTCATAGCATTAGGATGAGAAGCAGCTCCCAGTGCAGCTCACCCAGCACCACCACTTCATGTTGGACCATACCCATCTTGCTATCACACGTGTGCAAAGAATAATGCTAAAAAGGTCCCCAAAACATAGAGAGGCAAAGGCGAAATTAGAGAAGATTAGAAGTATCTCCCTAGCTCCCTGGAGCATGCCAGGAGTTGCATTTTACAGCCACTGCCTGTTACCTACACACTGTGCAGACTTGATGGTCACCAACCTTCTCCTGCCCTCTTGCGGCTCTGGCTGCTCCAGGGAAGCGTGCTCATGCTCCTGTGCGCTTACAGACATCTCAGAAACCTCCACCAAGCCACGTAACCTTCAGGGACTGCAGGTGAATATTACCAGAGCCAGCCCTGGGGTGCCTTTTTGGCACTGGGGTGCAGCATGCACCACACACACAACTTCTGCTGTGGTCAGAGTGACAGGAGGTAGGAGCGAGGGGAAGCCTTCTGTGAAGTTTCTAAGACTATTTTTTGCCTTATACGGTGTTTTTGTGGTCTTTAGGATAAAATACCCTTAATGTAAATTAAATCGCTCATGCGAATGCAACTTTATTAAAGCTTGGGAATCCTTTGACCTGTACCCAAAGACATCAGTACTGACAGCTGGTACATAAATACTGTGAATTGTTTCTCTGCATATTTATCTAGTTCATGTTTAACTGCATGATTTTCCAAAGCACAATCTGGAGTTGTATGATGGAAAAGGATTTTTAAATAGTGAGACTGAATTTTTAATAATGAGGGGATAATGCAAATGAGAAGGCAGGCAAGAAACAATGTTCATGTTGGATATGTCCACATATTTTAATTTGTAAAGTACATCTTCATTCTATCCATGTGCTGAAAAACCTGCAATGACAGTACTATGGATAAAGCATAAAGATGTAGGGGAGAGGGGGAGTGGATTTGAATGGAATTAAAACATTGGAACCATCTGTCTGTCACGTATTCAATATCACAGGTATTAGAAAACAATTTTTATCACTGCTGATGAGCACTGTATAAAGGAGAAGAGATGACCCAGGGAGAGGCTGGAATAGTTTTATTTTTAATGGCAAACTTGATGTGATTTTTCCAGGCTGCTTTCCTGCAGTCGTGCCTGGCAGCAGAAGGCAGCATGAGAGGGGTGGCCGTGCCTGCACTGGGGTGACTGACAGGGGACAGGCAACAGCAGAAGTCACCAGAGATTTCAGTTCCCTGTCTCCTGCCTTAATTGTCAAGGTGCAACTTCCCCTCATAGTTTGCACCTCCTCACACCACATGAAAGTGAATTAAAGTTTTGGGGCTGTTCGCTGCTGATTCCCTGACTGCAAAAATCTGCCTAGGGTGCAGTTAGGAGGCCTTAAGTATCAAAGCTGAGCTGGGCTTTAACACAGCCCTTCTAGAGGCAGAAAAGCATTGAGGAGAGTGGTGGTGCCTCTGCGGAAGAAGCTTTCCTGCTCAGACACAGGACAGGGCAGCTCTGACTGGGATACTCTGCATCTCACTTCCCAGGACTTCCTGGGACCATGAAATCAAGGCGGATGCTCAAAATCCAAAGAAAGTGAACCTGAGCATGAAAAAAATCTTGCAAACCTTCTAGTGGGGTATGAAAGAGGAATGGATGCATCTGTTAGGCACAGAGCAGATCCTAAACGTCTGCAGGGACTGCCAGGGAATTGGGGAAAATTTCAGATGCCCTATGGTTACTGTTTCAATAACTGAAAAGCTAATGTTGTGCTTTTTCTTTCCTTTCTGCTTTTTTGTTCCTATTAAAACATCTCTGTTTGATGGCATACTTCTAGTGTCAGCTAGCAAGCAGCTATTCTTCCAGATGCAAAACAATAATTTGAGGGTGAATTAACATTCAGTAGATGATTAGTATAATCTAATGTTTTATCCTTCAGCACAAGTATTCTACTACCATGCTACATACTTTATAGTCTCATATGAAGTATTTTGTTGGCCTATATAAAAGGAAACAGGAGACACAGAAATGAGCTTTTCAGAAGCATTTCATTTTGTGACTCCCTCTGAGGGTTAGTCTCTGGATCTCAAAGAGTGATGAGCTCCTCTGAATCAGTGTCATGTCCCTGAGTTAATTCTGTATTCACTGTCCTGCACCGTTCTGCAGGGAAAAAAAAATAAACACCCAACAGGACAGTCTTAGAGAAGAATTAAATATTATGAGGTGTTGATTTTCTCACTCAAAAATATTCCCTGCAATTAGTGCTTGTCCAGATGAACAAACCTTTCCTTGTCACAGGAGAAGCTGTTGATGCCAGGCAAAATAATGTTAATTGAAGCAAAATGTGAGAGAATTTCAGATTACAAGTAGCTGCAACATTTTGCATTTTATGGGTTCCTTATGTGAAAAGTATGCACCAGACAGTACTTTGGCATCAGTGTATTTTATGGAACTTCTTAACTTTATCCAACAGCATTTATCACTGAGTTTGTCTGCAGGTGTTTAAGCTTTATGACAAATGCTGTTTGACAGTGAGAGTTGGATTCAGCTGCTGTATCTGAGCAAGCACTTGTATCTGTGGACCAAACCACATCACCACAGACCAGTCAGTGATTTCTCTCGGTTCCTCATCCAAAACAATTCATTAGAAAATTTTGGGACGTCTCTGTCATCACCTGCATGTCTGGCTGCTTCTGTACTCGAAGCCTTGGACATTCACTCTTCTGAGTGAAACAAGGAGTCACTTTAGGCTCAAATACAGAGGAGATGCAAGTTCTCGAGCTCCCAACCACATGCATTTAGGAATGTACAGAGCTGAGCTATGCTCAGGTAGGGATTTTGGCACAATGTGCTGTGTGAGTGTTATAATCCACTGTTGTTCTTTCAAATCCATTTGCAGGTTGGTCCATTCTGGCCCAGGAAAAGGCTCACCTCAGTCAGGGGTAGATCTGTCTTTTGCCACCCGTACTGGTACAAGGCAAGGGATTGAAACCCATCTGTTCAGGACGGAGACTAGCCGAGACCTCTCACTGTGGACGAGGAGCGTAGTGCAGGGCTGCCACAATTCTGCGGAGCTCATCACGGAAATCACCACATGTGAGTAACACCTGCAGTGCAATGTCTCCATACCTCCTCATAACACTTGTGGGTAGTTCAAGCTCCCTTCTGCTAGAGGTGATTAATTTTTTAAAAATGTGCATACTTAGGGTTCTGTATGTTTAAAATACCGTCCCCATGGTTTCTGAGCCAGTCCCATGTGGTGTGGTACCTGTGGCCAGTGACACAGTTGCTGTCATTCCGACTTTTGGCCTCGTTTTCAGCATGTTGTTTCAGACACAAGTCAGTAGTCAGCCATATAGGTCTGTGTGTCATGAAGGAGTGATTGTCAGAGGTTTGTCCAGAAACCCACAGAAGAGGGCATTTTTCTGAGATTCAGGAGACTCCTGAGAGCCTGGCAGGAGTTTCTCTTGCAGAGGGAGGAGGCAGAGGAGAACAGGCACATTCACAAGCATGAATTGGTCATTTATTCACCCAGCTCTGTGCAGTTGAGAAGAGTTAAAAAATACAAACTAGTCCAATAGCCATATTTTGATGGCTAATCAGTTCCCTTCCTGAACATCAGAGTGTCACTTCTCAGCACTTCTGTACATGCAGAATCAACTGGAATAGAAGTAATCAGCCACAGATGCTCTGGAGTGATGCCCTGTTCACCTGGGTAGCTGGTAGCCTGGGGTAGCTCTGGGGCTCTGAGGCTGTGCCTTTCTCTTGAGTGCCCCCAGGATTTGGGAGTCCTTCCCCCTCTAGCCCTACAGTTGGTGGGCTATTAAAGTTGAATGTTATCTCCACTCATTGCCTAAAAATGTGAGAGCAAGAGTCAAAGCAAAATGCCTCCACAACAAAGGGCAGCTCTGATTCTGTGAAGCTGTCAGACACAGCCACGTGCTGCTGAGCATGGGGACGCCTGCCCGCAGGCTGCCAGGCCCTCGGCCTCGAAGAGTGCTCAGGCTGCTTTGCAGTCACCTCTGATGTGGGAACCACGTCGAGGGCATGTCCATCTTGTCAGCCCAATGATATGGATGCCTTTCTTTCCTAAAGCAGGAGGAGGACGTTACCCCCTTTTTTATCACAGTGCTTTTATCCCAGTGCCAAGGACCCTTCTTGGCAAAATTGTTCACAGGGAAGTGGTGGAAAAGAATATGGGATGTGGGTACCTAAACTCTTCATTTTTTAATTTGGATCATATCCGGTGTTTCTGAGCTGACGGGAAAATGCAGACTTTCTGCTGCAGTAACTATTATATACAATTATCTGAGCCCTTTTTCAATTACCACAACACTAATGAGGACTCAGGAGCATCTTCATCTTTGTCAAAATAGTTTAGGGAAACCCTTTACAGTGTCTAATTTTCTCATGCATTGTGCACCATGTTTATTGATTTGGGCTGTGTCTGTCAGATGTAAGAAGAGTAGCTGTGACTTTGTCAAGGTTTGGAAGGAGGAAATGCCAGCCTGAGCCTTCTTAAACTTCAGTAGATTGGTTTTGAGTCAGCATGTGGATGTATGCTGCAACATAAAGAATGCAGTGAATACCCAAAAGGACTGACATCAGTACTGCTATTGCCGAGCACAATGTTAGTCTGTGTGTTTACACCATAACTAACAAACCTTGCTTGGACCTTACACAGCAGAAAGATTTCCATTGTTTTTCCAAATCTGCAGGTTTACAGTTAGAGCATGATTAGCCCAGTTTTAGGGAAGGTTAGTTTCCACAAGATCAAATGATATCAAATGTGAAATGCAGATATCTGCAGCCAAATGGAATTTGTTGCTTTTAGGAACGTTACAGACTAAATTTTATTTCCTTCTTCAGCTTGCACATATAAAAGCCAGGAGTGCCGTTTGACCATCCATTACGAACATGGATTCTCTCTTACAACTGAACCGCAAGATGGTGCCTTCTCTAAGACAATTGCACAGTATCCCTATGAAAAACTGAAAATGTCCTCAGACGATGGGATAAGGATGCTTTATTTAGACTTTGGAGGAAAGGATGGAGAAATTGTAAGTACTCTGTTTAGCAAAGGGAGGCATGTGACCACCTCTTTGGTAGTTTTTTAGGCTGTGGGAGCGAAGAGCACTACTGGAAATTGGACGAGATGATCACTGTAGGTACCTTCCAACTGAAATATCTCCTATTCTGTTCTGTTCTGTTCCTATTCTATTCTATGCTATGCTATGCTATGCTATGCTATGCTATGCTTTAAAAGGAGATAAACTAAAAAGAGAGACAAAATGGTAAAACCATGCAAAAGAGGGATGAAAGATTTCTTACATTTAAGAACAAATTATATCTAAATAGCCAGATGTTAGAATTTTTGTATGTATTCATTTCTCTTTTTAAGTGGCTGCAGGTGGAAGAACCTATGAGAGATATTGTTAATTCCAACATAAACATAGGGACATTATGTTATGACAACAAGCTGTTTTAGACATTTTTGAACATCTAGCTGCTGAAAGAAATTTAAGACTACAAGTATAGCGCAAACTGTCTGCTTAGGCCTCTTAAGTTAGCTGTCACAGTGCCTCAAACTAAGGTGCTTATTCTTTATGAGCAGTTTAGATACCATAAATTATGCATGTAAACATGGTCTTTTGTGCCAGATTTTTTCAGCAGCTCCTGAGCATGTTGGGTGCTTAATTCTGCACATCACCTTTGACAACATATACTCTGTGAACTGCTTATTGTCAGGCTTTCAGAAGGGAATTTGTTACTAGCTCTCAATAAAGTTGATATGTGACTGTTAGAGAGGCACATCTGGTTTGTTTTGATGTGAACCTACTGTTTAACTTGCTGTCCACACTGACAAGTCTGTCATGCTTAGCAAGCCTGTGGTGAGATCATCTGAACCATGACTATTGTAAAAAAAGTCTCAGTTCAGTCTCACTGCTGGCTGTGTGAGCAGAGGAGCCACCATGCAGCATCAGCTGAAGGTGCGGTGTCCTGGCTTCAGCTGTGACCAACAGTGGATGCACTGGGTACTGGACACAGCAGTCCCATCACCATCCCTGGTCAGAAACAGAACCTGAAAAGATGTTCAATCTTTTGGAAAACTGTTTGAAGCATCTCACTCGGTTCTCTGCTGCTTACCCAGGTGGATGGAAGCCCAGACACACCAGCATCTCATCTGCTCTCAAGATGCTTATTACTTGTAGTAACCTAAATATTTGCAGTTGTATGCAAAGACAAGACACTGTGTTGTAATAAAGGGTTGTTATTAATAGAAGTCTGTTGAAAATACAAGGCAGCAGTTAATCAAGTACTCCATAAATGGTTGCCTTATTTGAGCTGTAATCTCATCTAATCATTCTCAACTTGATTTCTTTCTGTACTTTCAGCAACTGGACCTTCATTCCTGTCCAAAACCAATTGTGTTCATCATTCATTCCTTCCTGTCAGCAAAGATCACAAGACTTGGCTTGGTAGCATAAGTGGGATACATCTGTTTCTTCAAAGAAAGATGGAGCGACCATGCTAATCTGAAGTACAATCAACATCAGCAACCCGTTCCAGCTAGCTTGGGGTTCAGTACTGGGCCCTGGTCATTTCTGCAGTCTTCCAAGGCTGAAGTTTTATTTTCATCAGCTAAAGAAGTGGCACGACAAGGAAACCAGTGAATTTCACTGTAAATAATGGGATTTTAAAATCCCATAGCAGACAGTAAAAGTGTGTAGTACCATACGTGTAAATGTTTCAGAATCATAAATTGTGCCTATTTTAATGTACTTGTTTATATAAAATAAGTAAAGGGCTAAGCAGACAAGAGTGGGTGTTGGCTGTGATGCAAGCTCAAGGTGGTTTGAGTAGTTCTCCAAACAAGATCGTTCCACCATCTAAATGTACAATATTTTTTCTGTGCTAACCTGCGCACAACTTAACAGCAGTTATTTCTTTTGGGGAACTGTCAGAACCTGTTGCTTGGATACACAGCAGAGCATCTAGATAGGCACCTTCGAGTAGGATGCTCTAAAGCAATACAGCTGTGGGCAGTGAACAGCTGGAGGGTCTCTGCAGAGGGGCACTTTCAGATTAAATGATGAAGACATCTTGCATACATTCCTAGCGATGGACCCAAAGCAAGACTAGCTAGAGTGATGTACTGAGAGCCAGCTGTCAGTGGGGCACAGGTAGGAGCATCAAGTTACCTGGATTCACCCTGAAGTGTGACCTAAGCTTCTGCCAGCATGGTTCCACAGCAGTTTTTCAACAGAAAGCTGTGCTGAGCTTCCTGTCCTTTTTACCCCAACTGCATCACCCCTTTAGCTCTGCTTGAGGCTGGTTGCACGGTCTTGACAGAAGAAATGTGAGGAAGGAGGAAGACTGGATTATTTTTTTTTTTAGTTTTCTAAGTTACTCAAGCAGCTCCACAACAGTGAGGAAACACCGGGGCAGGAACATGAGCTGCACTGCCAGAAAAGCCTTAATAGGGAAGAAACTGCTCCTGTGAGCATGACTTGGCAAATCCAGATTTATTCCTTGCTGGTGAAACATAAGATGTTCACCTCTGTACCCATAACTTACTAGTTCCTGTTTTGCACCACAGATGACAGTTTCAAGTCAAAACATTTGGATCACTGAGTTTTGGCCTTGCTAACAGTTACATTGGGCACAAAGCAGGCCACAGGCAGGAATGCTGACCGTCCTTGTCAGGGCTCATACACACACCTGGAACTGCTAAATTGGCTTAATGTGGTTGGGTGGGAACAGAAGGAAGCAGAACATGGATGGCATTTATGTTGCCCTTACTTTGTAAACAGCTGCTTCATAGAGGGGTGGTTTTTTGTTTGCTTTTAGAGTTTTGCCCTAAAATAAGACACACTTTGAAGGACAGGAACTGTACAGAAAGTAATAAATCCAAAGTTTGTAGAAGTTTGCTTGTCATACTCAAGGCTTCCTTTTATTCTTGAGAAAGCACACATTTCAACTTAATGTGACTGAGCTGGCAAAGAGGAAAATTAAAAACACAGTTGGGTTCCACGTTGTTTTTAAGCTGTCTTGAGTGTTGAGCTTAAGTCATGCTGTTTATTCACAGAATTAGTTTGTGGTGGTTTCCATAAATATCTTATTGAAACCAATTAAAAAACTAAGATGATGTGCTGAATTTGCAAATATTGAAAATTATTATTGAAAAACAATAGCTAAATTGCCATTTGGAAGAGCAGCCTCACTCCCAGCACCTCCCACCAGTCAAAAGCAAGCCTGGGAGAGGATTCACCTAGCTGTGAACTTTGTTTTTACTGTCATGGTACTTGCACTTAAAAATTAATTCCTCGTGTAAATTCACAAGGTAGGAGATAGCAGGTTACATAACTTACAATAATTTCCAAATGGACATTTCTCTTTTAGTGACTGCTGCCATTCACATAACATTCTGTGGCAGTTGCCTGCGTCTCCTTTGGCTTGGAACTTCTAGGAGAAGCTGAGAGCCATCGGTACACTGGGGGACTGGGTCTTTGAACTCACATCACATCATCAAGTAAACCATTGTGTGAAGTTTCTGAAAAGTGATTCAGGACACTCGCATTGCTGTTCCAAAGTGTAACTTAAAAATCTGGACGCAGGCTCCTATAAAAGTTCCCGAGGTTAAAGTGAAAACTTGCATACTGTGGGGTAGGTTAAATACATGTGTAAACTATACTGCACTATTTCCTTATTCCTTTAACACTTACAAATCACTGGAATGTTATACTTAACAAGTATGTGCATTGTAAATATTACAAATTCCTATATTAGTACCAACAATTAAATGACACAATATGTAATCTAAGGTGCTCAGTACTATATGAAGTATAAGTGAATAACTGAACCGTTTGCAAAGAAAATTCCTATTATATATATTTATAGAAAAAATAATGATAATTACAGATGCTATTTCTTCATTTTCAGATTTTGGACTGATTCATATTTGGATGGGATAGACAAATGAAATACAGACCTACTCCACATTTGTAAGAGTATAGTGAATATTTATATTTTAGAGGAAAAAAAATATTTAATAAAATCATTTATTGGATTTTTGTGAGGTGAGCTTACTTTGTACCCAAACAAGCTGTTTGGAAGGATGTCCTTTGGTTTTGGGCTGGGGAAAAATACATTTTAAACCTCTCATTCTGTTATGACTTCAGTTACTTGAGAGAACTATTCACCATATTGACGGAACGACTTTTAAAATAAAATTTTAGAAAAGTACTAATGCACTGTCAATGGCGTGTTGGTGCTTTCTATCAAGCTAGCTCAGTGTTCATGTGATAGTGGTGCTGTTGATGACAGGCTGAATGCATAAGTACACAGCATTTTTTCTGCTGTCTGGCATTTACTGAAAGCCCAAAAGGATGTTCTGGGCAAGTCGTTCAGGCTTACCTGCTGGTTACGATGCTTTCTCTGTTGCTTACATTTAACTGAGCAGTTATGAAAGTCATAAAAAAACAGAACAGCAACTTCTGCTCAAGCTTCTGCATTCAAGGAGTGATGCCAACATGTGCCCTGCTTAGTTCTTGTGAACAGTTTAGAGAGAAAAAAAAAAAAAACACACGCTAGTTTTCTTCCCTTCTACTTTAATTCTTAAGATAGTGGCCCAAATCAAAAAGCTAACTGCAGTCTGTTCTTTCAGTCTGACCCAAGGTATGGCAGACCAGCCTCATGGAAATCCTAAAAAGGGGTATACTAGAGTTTCATTCTTTTCACAAAATACTGACTGTAAATTGAATGGTCTGATCAGAAAGTCTGTATAGCAGCTTCACCATTAGAAAGACTCAGATACATATTGGAACATATGTGTTACTGGAAAAATGTGATACGAAGTGTTTGTTAAAAAAAAATAAAGATGAACTGATGGTGTTCAGGTAAGCATCCTGTTGTTTCCAACAGCTTTGCTCTTTAAGTGGAACTAGCATCTCTTGTGAGGTACTTTATAAATCAGAACACAACTCTTTATGCACTACCAAGTAAATCACTACCATGACCATCGTTAGAATCAGTCTTTTCCAAATAACAAAACGAGTGTTTTCCCTTTCTGCGGAAGGTGAGTGTTCCTTCTTCCCACAGGACACAGCAGCATGTTCTATCCAGCTCTTCCCATTCAGAAGCTCAGCTGATTTGAAGTACTGGTTGATCTGATTTCCATCTGCAAGGATTCTCAATGTCCTCTTAACCCATGTTTAAAAGTTAATTGGAAGTCAAAGCAGAATTGGAGCCTAAACAGATGCTGTGCTCCAGATTGTTAGGCTATCACTGATCTTTAAACTTATCTTGTTTTTCATAAGAGCCAAACTGGCAGGTATATAACAAGCTATTTACTGGGCCTATTTACTATATATATACACATACTATTACTATAGTATATATTACTACATGTATGCACACACTATTAGTGTATATACTGTTACTATAAAGTGGGAGTTACATCTAAACTGGACACTCTTGAATTCTGTGGTGACTTTGATGTTAAAGAACAGGTATTGGTAACACACGACCAAAACTTTGAGAAACTCAGCCTACTGGATAGAGGTGAACTCCTAGATTAGCCAAGGCAAAATCTAGTTTAAAAGCATGACAGGAAAAACATTAACTATTTAAGTAATAAAGATAAAACCTCTTGTGAACTTAACAGCAACTTTTTTCACATAGGATTAGCTTGATTTTCTTCATCAGAATTTCTGTGCTAGAGGCATTAGAAAACAACTCGCAGGGGAGAACTGGAGAATTTGTGACTTTTGAAAAAAGCATTTGTAGACAAGTTAAGTTCTGCTGCAGCCTAGTGATAGCCATCATGCAATTGCTGTAATACCAGAATAATCATCTCACCAAGTAACCACAGCCACATCAGTGTTTCTTACCCCAGTCTTGCATAACGTGGATTATAGGATAACCATAACTGTATATTGGTGAATATGACTTATATCCTGACTTGCAAAAAATGAAAGCAAGCACCAATACATTTACTTCAGTAAAGTATGCATAGGGCAGATTGGATTTTGAGTTCACCAGCCACAAAAAAGAAAATAATTTGAAGGTCAGAGACAAAGAGTGACATTACATTCTGTATGACTTAAGTTACAACATGTTAGCTGAGCTGTGGGAGCTCTTAGTGTGGGCTTTTTGAACTATGACAGGTAACAATTTGGTTTAGCACTATTACACTAGCCCAGGTCAAATTATTTTGTATGCTTTTTTGTAGTTTAAGAGCATGCAATGACAATTACCACAGCTCAGACTGAGTGCAGTGATATTAAGCCATGATAATAAACTAGCAATCACTTACCCTAAAGTAAAACGCCAACATAATAACAAAGTGCAAACGAGACATGGGCAGCACTGTATTAGTTCAGCCCTGGGAATCACGCAAACAAACAATACATCAAAATGTTTATGTTTCCCTAACTGCTTTCCTTCTGACTATTTCAGGCCAGCCTTTGAATCTACAGAATTAATTAAAACAATAACCATTGGGTTCTACTTATGAAATAAGGTAGTTAAGTATCTAAATCCAGGGCACCATAGAGATGGACACCATAGAGAGGTAAGGGAGGAATGAGAAAATAATAAAAAATAATTTTAAACCCCACCTTTTTATAGAAGCCCTTCTACAGATACACACAGATAGTTTTTCATTAAGGAAAACAGTTAAAGATTGTAAATTACTTCCCTGAAAGAGATTTTCTTTGCTCATGGCAGCAAGCCACAGATATTTTACAAAATGTAGTTTCTGTACTTTTATCAACTTACACATAATTTAGCTACTTTTAAAAATATAATTACAAGTATATAAATACCCCCCAAATTAAGTACGAAATGAAACTTCCAGTGGCTTGCTTTAGTATTTAGACAATAGTGTCAGCATTCAGGCTGAAGAGACAAGATTATAATTTAAGGCTTTTCTCTCTATATTTGGAAGTAGATTTTGACTTTCTTTATTCAATATTGGATGTTAAGGAAGATGAATACCTTGATTAATTTCTTGTTTTAGCAGCAAAGTATTTTAACACATTATACGTGTTTATGTATTTTAAAATGTTTGGTTCTAATAGTATTCATACAATCATGAAGAAGCAATTTCTGTCTTGAATACAAAGAAATGTGAGCCATACACAGTACTTAATGCATTGGAGAAATTTCATGCATTAACTTATTAAATAATTTTTTAATTACCTACCTTCATTGTGTTTCTATTTCACCAAATCAGTAAAACCCTTTAAGTTATTAAACCTGGATGCTGTGTATGCATGGCATTTTACAGATAAACGTAATCTTGCTCCAACATAGATGTGTACATACACTAGGTTAGGGTTAGGGTTATGGTGAAACAGCTACGTAGCTTTACATTGACCCTCAGAGTTAAGCAAGTACACACCCACATATAAAAAGTCTTGTAGAGTTCAGGAGAACAATAAAACATTGGAACAAAGGAGCAGAAGAGTTAAATGCTAGATCCTGTTAGACATGAAAAACCTCCTTGGGGCTTGACTTTACATGAAATAGAATTAAGCAAAGAATAAATGTCACAAAAATCACAAAGACTCTTTAGAGAATGTGTAGATTTCACAGTATTAAGTCTAACCTACACATAGTTTAGTTCAATTACTTTTTCATAATCTTACATTCTGTTTATATTACTATTGCTTAATCCATTTTCCTTCCAGGAGAATATAGTAAACAATAACACTGCATCCTGATCAATTTTAATCATGTTGGTTTATATGAAGAATAGGAAATCCTTGCACTGAAAGTTGTAAAATATATTTGTTTTGGTAGGAAATCCTCATCTCTACAAAATACTAACCTGAATAATTACACTAGTACAAACCAAGTACATGATTGAGACTTAATCAGTCTTGGGCCTACTTTAGTATTTTACTGTGCTTGCAACTCAGGTAAAAATTCTTCTTTCCATTACATTTCATCACAGTAGGCCAGCTTTTTCACAGCTCTCTCAATCATCATCACTACTATCACTTTCATTTTCTCCTCCCCTATGAAAAGAAATCTCAGAGACAATTCATAACAGAGTTCTAAGGATTGTTACAAAGAGTACACGTGAAAATATACCAGAAATCCAGCTTGTAAAACAATGATCCCTTCTTTAATGGGACCTTGCATCAAATTTCAAAAGCCATGCTTTGTCTTTTTTTCTTACACTACAACACAGAGATAATTGTGACCCATTCTAATTATGTTTGCTTTCACCTGCAGAATAGGAACTGTTCTGAATTGTTCTATAAAATGTCAATGGTCTACACTGTAAACAGCTATTTATACAACAGCAAATAGTAACACGCAGAATAGAAGTCTTCGCACAAAAGGGCAAAATAACTACTTTTGTTATTAAAATTAAATCTGGTGGGTTTTTTATTCGCATAAAAACCAAATATCTGGGTTGAAAAACATACATAGCTTTATCAAACCAAGTCAGGCTATATTCCTTTTAACAATGAAACATAATAAATATGCATATAAAATAAAACCTTTTTTCATTTCAATATTTTTAAAAAATTAAAAACTTTCAGTATAAAAAGTTTCAATATATGCTAATGTGCTTGAGAATTGAGTCTATACAATTACACTGACCAAAGTCCTTCTGGTCTGTAGATAAGTGTGTGCATGTTCATAAGAGCTCTGTCTCTGCAGTTTCTAGGAAGGTGTGAATAGCAGCCATTCAGTACCTCTACTTACTACTCTTCTCCAAAACCCATTCAATCACCTGGGAAAATAAATGAGAAAACAAATAATTTAAGTAACTCCAGTCCTGAAAGCAACTAAGAACATCTCACACACTTTCCCAATTCTTTATCACTGCCTTTATCACCACCTGTGTGGCGTTTACTAAACAGGATTTAAAAGTAATCCATTAAAAAGGAGAAACAGTTCTTAACAAACTGAGAGGATAGCGTCACCTAAGAATTCTATTTAATTTTACAGAATGCCTTGTCTTCAGAAAAAAGCATTTTTAGATCCCCTGAATCGAGCTGCTTCACCCCATTCTCTCCATGTACTGGCAACAAGGTGCACGCACAATGCTAAACAACTAGTGTTTCCAGCACAAAAAATTCCTAAAGCTGTAAAAGAAAGGATAAAGAATAATTAGCACACTGCTGTATCTGCCACCATTACTGCTGTTTCCTAAACAGCGTAGTTGGTCGGACCACTGATTAGTCCTGGGCAATCGTACTTTTTATAAGGTAGTTTCAAAGTATTCTCTACTTAGGGAGAGGTGGCCCACCTAAGAGGTCCCCGATTTTAATGCCTCTGACAACAGTAAACATATATAAAACTACTGGCTGTCCTCCCCAGGCAAAAGGATGGTGGTGAGAAACAGTGTACCAGCGCAATATCCCTGTTCAACACCAAACTCCACAACCCATGTAGTTTTTGATACCTTATGATTTCTAGGAATAAATTCACAAGGGAACACAGTACAGAACACAATAAATGCTGCTCTCATAGAATAAACTGTGGGGATCTAGTAGTTTTCTGTAAGAGTTTGGATTTTCTTAATTAACTATCGTAGTCCAAATCCTTCCATTTAATCTACGATTTTGAAAACTGTACTGTAAATATGCACAATACTTTTTCTGGGTTTTTTTTTTTTAAATCATGGAGTCACTTCAGCATGTTTTTCAGAATTTAAATCAGTTAATTGCTGGACGACAGGAGCATTTACTCTGATCATTTGCTGTCTGCTACTGTTCACATAAGCCCCACCTTACACCAATAAGATCATCTGATAGATATCCTTTGTGCTTACAGTTATTCCCAAGCTTAAAATTACTAATATTCACTACTTTCTGAAAATTTATTTCCTCTTGTAGATCCCTTTATTGCTTCCTAACCTTTGAAAATAAATGTTATTTTCTTCAACACAAGGAAAGAAGAATTCCCTAATGATCCAGGCTTCTGTCATCCCTCATCTCTTTTTTTTCCCCCAGTGATGTGGAAACATTTATTGCCTTCATTTCCATTTCTCACTGTGGCACATCATGTTGGCAGCTATAACTAGAATACCATCTAATACCTGAATATATGGAACTAGAAATTTTGCCATGGGACTACTGACTGAAAGAAAGTTTTTGTGAGATCAGAGTGAAATGAGACCCACAGCCATAGGAATGCATCTCTTCATCTCTTCAAGCTATGGAATAAATCACCCTACAGCCAACCGCCACAGCTAGTGTAGCCTTGGCTAGTTACAGGAACAAATAAGCAAATGGTTTTACCTGTTTAGCATTGTTATTTGCTGTTTTCTTCATTTCATCAAGAAGCCCTCTAGAAGTTTTAAGATCCTAGATATAAAACACAAAGCCATAGAAATTAGCAAACCCATATGCTCACTCTAATTTGGATTATAAGAGCCCTTATAATAACCAGGGGAGGTGTTACCCTTTTATCACCTTGTTTGGAACCACAGAAGAATTATTTGACTTTGGTTTGGTTTTCTTTAAAAAAAAAAAAAAAATCTCAATCTATTCCAGTGGGTTGCAACTTTCCCTACAGCCAGCCATCCTAATCTAGTACTCGAGTGTACAATTGAGTCACATTTTTCCAAACCTTCCACACACTTCCAGAAATGTTGGGGTTTTTAACTTAAATGTTATTCAAAGTTATTACAGTCTGGATTGAAATCTCATTTCTATATAAACATGGAAATCAACTGCGTGCTTAGATTGCGATACAGAGCTCTGGCAAAGAACAGCAAAGGGGACACGGTGAAAGAAAATCAGTGCAAGAAAGTGAAAACCTAGAAAGGTTTGTCTGTTTTGCAGTCCAATTAGCCCAACCTAATCCACTCTCTTAAACAAAGCAAACACATAACCTTGCCTGAAGAGAAAGGAAAACTAATAAAATTCATTTACTACTGATACCATGCTTCTGAAGCACACAGCACAGAGAAGGATTCAAAGGGCTCCTACAGACTTGGGGCTGCAATACAAGCCCAGAGGACAAAATCCTGCTACACCTTTCTCTAGATCAGCTTTCCAAAGGACAGGATCACTGCAGTACTCTTCCTTTTGCCTTCTACTTGGAATGAAGCCATGAACACATCTGATTTGCCCTACTCACTCATCCCTACATACAGCTCTCTCTGAGTTTGGATTAGAAGATCTTTCTTCAGGGCATATTTCAGGGAGATTTTGGAGTGCTCACAGAATGACTGCACAACTGTGTTCTAATTATTTAAGAAGTTAGTGCCCATCAGCAAGATGTTCTAATTGTCTGTGTAAGCATTCAGCCCTCTTCAATTGCAACTTCATTTAGCTTAAATCACCTTTACTGAAGTTGACTAAACTGAGTTAGTTCAAAAATAGTGGTAGGCTAAACACATGCAAATTAACAGAAACAGCAGCTCAGCTTGTGAGCAATAGCTTTTAAACACCCTGTACTGTAATTTAACTCCATTTTGCGCCCAGACTAAGTAACATGGGCTCAAGCATTGACTCACAAAATGTCCTAGGTATTGTGGAAAGAATTCTCATCTTCTCCTAAAAATTGAGGTTGATACAATTCTCCAGGGTGCTGCCAAGTCAGCATGTGTTAGATAGTTGTGCACATTTACAATGCAGCTACAAGGACTTCTGTTAGCACGTCAGAGAACTAGAATTTCTGAGTCAGCTGTGTAAGCTACCTATTGAGCCAATAGCCTGAGAACAAGGGAGAAGCTGAACTGTCACCAGCTATGGCTGGGAGATAGCTACAATAGCTAAAGAAGCAATAAGCATGACCTTACCTAACATACCACTGCTTTAACATGTTATCTCACATAAAAGACTACTGCTTTCTAAGGTTTAAAAATCAAACAACCAACCACCAAAATATACTGTAAAACTAGCTTCCGCATTTGACAGCAACTCCAAAGGTTTACCCACACACTCTACACGCTATTAACAGACCACTAGGAAATATTAGCTTAATCAAGTCTGAATATCCCCACAGTTCATCTCACGTGTTAATCAGGAATGGATTCATTTAACTAAGAACAAGCAACTATAAGAGCACGTCTTCTAGTTACCTTTAAGTAGAACTTTGATATCTCAAAAAGACGCTGGCTGCATGAGGCAAAGCACTTGTGATCCTCTGCAATTCCATGTTTTTGAAGAGTCGCAGCAACCACTTCCTTCAGCATCTTGGAAACAATAGAAACACACTCAAAAGTTCATCCCAATTATTGTCATGAAAGATTGTCCAAGGGAAGGAAAACTAAACCAAAAATAGAAACCTCATCTTTTTTGATCTTGCCTCTATCTTTACTCACTTGGCCAAATTTGGGCAGAGTTATTCAACAACCTATTTCCATTTCCTTCATCTCAAAAGTTAACAAAATGCTTATATGTCAAAGCAATGTAAAAGATCAATAAATATTCAAATCGGGCTTGGAAGACAGAAAAAAAAAATGTAAATGGCTTGGGTTTTCTCTTCTCCAAAATACTATACATATATATATAAACTTTTCTTTATATTGATATTCCCTTGTTTGACACATCCATATTAAAAAATAATTAAAAAAAAAAAAATCAGATATTACAATAGACTAGAGAATTTACTCTGACATTCTTTATATCAGAGATGTTTAAACTTTGCTGTAGGTCTGAATGAGTCACACCAATTTATACTTAACTTGGGGTCATCCCAACTTGCCCTTGACAGTACGACATCAACGTTCACGCACTGTCCTCTCTAACATTCTGGGATTCATTTAAAATTAGTGTCACCGAGCCAGAAACAGTTTTGTACTGTATTTTAGAAGTGGCATTCCTAACATATCCAGCTATTAATTAAACATTATTGCACCAAGGTATTTAAATGTTATCTCAGTTAAGGGACTTGGTACAACTATTGGAACAACTTATTCTCAGAATAGTCTGTTCTTCCACAATGGCTTTGACCCAGTACATATTTCCTTGGTGCCTTTAGGTTTTATATTAATTTTCTACATTTCATAACTCATATTTGTTGATATCCATTCCCACCTTTTTTTACTCCTATCTGTTATCTCTCTTAGCCTTAATTCCCTGGGCATGACATATTACTCCTTACATACTTTTTCATTCCTTGCTTCTGCAGCACTCTCTGCAGTGCCTTCAGGATTCACTTACACCAGCGAACAGAATGAAATTTAATAATAACAAAAAGAAATGAAGACAGTTCAGTTAAAAAATTAAAAAATCAAGTTACATGGAAAGAAGTTTAAGCAGATAGTTTGTCACTAAGCAAACAACATAAACTTTTACCCTTGTATGTTTCTGGGATCTTGATTCCTTAGCTGGCTTTGAAGTCTCAGACTCGGTTGCACTTATGCAACTTGCTGAGCCAACCTTAGTGGTAACTTTGTGGGGTTGATCAGGCTGTTTCAATGGCATTGAAGCTAAAGAAACTGATCTTTCAGAGCGCTTCCTCGTCACAGCAACTGTATAGTGACTCCCACTACTTCCGCTTGCCTGAGAGAGGAGGGAATCTGTACTCTCAGATTTGGTTAGCCTGGAAAGGGGAAAAAAAAAGGCAAAAAGAACTTTTAGATTTTGTACTGATGCTTTTGGTGCCTTTGTTTCTGCTACTGTGATTACTGCTAAGAGCATTAAGTACTGTACATTCTTGCAAACAGCATCTGAAAACAGCAGACAGGACTCTTATGTAACATTTTTTGAATTAGAATATTTTACTGATTGATTTAGTCTCTGAATGTAGACCCATTGTTTCTCTGCTTAAAAAAGTCTAGACATAAACGGAAGAAACAAGATAAGGAAGACAAGAAATTCTTTGGAAAAAGGGGTAGTTTTGCATATGAACACTTCATCTACATAGCTAGGAAGAGCACAGTTTGCTGGTCTTCAGTCTCAGGGTAAGACTAAACTTGAAATTATCTAATTTCTTCTGGCCTTACAGGAATGTCACAATTCATCTTTAACTATGGGAAGATGGACATTACAATTCTACTGCAACATGGTAATTCTTGATCCTTCAACTGTAAGAGCATTAGTAATTCTGAAACTCCTATTTATGAAGTGCTAAGTACAACTGCATCTTCTTTTCTAACTATTCAGAAAACTGCAGCAGATATGGATATTCCTAAAATGATACCTCTGTTAAAGGCTTACTGGGATTAGAATGCAAAGGCTATCACACGGAAGGAAGATATCAAACTGTAAGGAAGAAGTATTACAGTAAAAAGTGAACTCAGAAGTAGTGTTACATAGCAGTTATTTTTTATTGATGCAAAGAGTTTGCATCTTCAGAGTGAGGACAAGGTACAAAGGGAAATCTTAAAAACTAGAGTTCCAGAAAAGACTTTAATAAACAAGGCTGACAGTAAGTTTGAATTTTGGTAGGTCATCTTTTACCAGTAGTACTTTGGATTAGGAATTGAATTATTCTGTTTGTACAGTACTTGGCTTTCTACACCTTTAGTTTTTTATTTGTAGTGCAACAGCACTGACAGTTTTGGTCCTAGATCAGGCTATCTGTCATCTTTTCAAAGGCACTTGAGACTTTGCAGGATAAAACCCCAGATCTCTTAAATAAAAGGTGCCCGTGCTGCATGGTTTTGATTAATCTAATGATATCAATGAGAGGTCATACTTGAGGAAAAAAAAAAACCAACAAACAACAAGAACCTACAAGAGAGGATTACACAGCTAGAACATCCGTCTAGATAGCTTCGCTAAAAATACTTTTGAGATTAAAGAAAAGATGCATTTCATAAGAAGCTACTGAAATATTTCATTCTAAAGATTTATTCAGTGCATTACCTTTTCTTGGGATAAAAGCAATCCAAGTCTTTTGATCTGCGTTTTAGCCTTGATGCCTCTGTTTTGAATTCACTTTGTAAAGACTCTCCATCAGGGACACTTCCAGGCTCTGACAAGACTGCAGGAGACGGGAGAGGGCTCAAGACAACTGGTACAGGGCAGCACTCTTTGGTGCAAGTAGTCTGAGTTTCATAGCGGATAAGGCGAGTTTGAAGTTCAGCATATCCCACGTCTCTCTCTAAGGCTCTCCTGTTATCTAGGCAATACCTAAAATTGAAATTGATAAGGAAGTCTCTGCTTTACTACAATCAGAAAAAAATCCAGAACAACTTACGTTTTACTATCATCTAATCTCCAAAACTTTTTTTGTTTGGACTGGTGTATTGTTCTGAAAGATACCTTAAAACAGCCCAGTAAATTTACACATCCCTGATGGATTTAGCTATATTTAAGTCTAACTTCAACAAAGAAACTGAATCATATACTATTTGTAAGTCTTTACCCTGTGATCTTGCAGATAAGATTTCCATGGACATCAGAACAATTTTTTCCTTGAACAGTAAGTGATAGATTAGGACGCAGACAATGGATTGTTTGCTCCTTATAGTTAGCCCTGTATTAAATTTGTATCATCAGTCTATTTTAGATTTTACCATTTTTCATATTCAGTCCACACTTAACAGATGTTACCCCTGTTAACACGCTTACCACTGTGACACTCCAATAAAACAGCGATGAGGAGACCAAATACATGATGAACCCAGCACATCATAACGGATTCAGTATCTTAAGAACTCAGACCTTGCAAGCATCCACCAAAATTTTTCAGACCCAGAAAATATCAGGTTATTATAATTAAAATTATAGACTCTAATATGATAATATAATAATAAAATATGCCTCTGTTTCTTCCTGGAAGAATGTAGCTTTCCTACTCAAAAAAACCCAGCCAACCAACCCAAGATTTCTCCAGTGCCTATGCCATAAGAGAATCACATCAGAAATGCATGAAGAAAACATCCCAAAGTACAATATATGCAATTTCTAAGTTATTAGACTGTTCAGAAATTAATTTCGTTTTGTAATGTGATTTTCATTGTATATGTTTCAGGAATAGTACCTTCTCGATTGGCATACTGTTAAATTTTGAAAAGCTCATGTTATGAACTTTAACGCTATATAATTAAATTATAATATAAACTTTATTTTTGACACATTTTGGAGGTTTGAAGTTCAGATGTCAAAACAGCAATTTCGACAGATCTACGAGCTCAAACTTGGACGTAATGCAGTGCAAGCTGCTTGAAGCATCAATGAGGTATATGGCCAGGGAAGTGTTAATGAACGGACAGTGCGACTTTGGTTCCAAAAATTTCGATGTGGCGATTTCGACCTTGAAGATCAAGAAGGTCGCAAACGTCCTTCTGATATTGACGACAATGAATTTAAGGCTCTGGTGGAAGGAGATACAGGCACAGCTGTTCGAGAACTTGCAAAAGAACTTGGGGTAAGCATATCAACTGTTTCTGAGCATCTGAAGAAGATTGTAAAGTCAAAGAAGCTTGACAAAACGAATTGAATGAGAATCCCAGAAAGAGCCATTTTGAAGTGTCGTTGGCGCTTCTTTTTTGCAACCAGAATGACCCGTTTCTCGACTGTATTGTGATGTGTGATGAGAAATAGATGCTCTACGATAACCGATGATCGGCTCAGTGATTGGACTGCGATGAAGCTCTGCAGCACTTCCCAAATCTGAATCTGCACCTAAAGAAGGTCATGCTGACTGTCTGGTGGTCTGCTGCTGGTTTGATCCATCACAGCTTCCTGAATCCAGGTGAAACGATCACGGCAGCGAAGTACATCCAGCAAATCAATGAAATGCACCAGAAACTTCAACAGCTACACCCAGCTCTGGTCAACAGAAAGGGTCCAACCCTTCTCCACAATAACGTGCGGCCACATGTTGCACTTTTGACGCTGCAACGGTTGAACGAGCTGGGCTACGAAACTGTACCTCATCCACTGTACTCACCAGACCTCTCGCCCATCGACTAGCACTTCCTCAAGCATCTAGACAGCTTCCTGTGTGGGAGATGCTTCAGAAACCAAGGGGAGGCTGAAACTGCCTTCGATGACTTCATCGCCTCCAGAAGTCCAGAATTTTATGCAACCGGAATAAATATGCTTGTTTCTCATTGGCAAAAATGTATTAATTCTAATGGGATTTATTTCAATTAATAAATTTTATTCCGAGCTGAGATGCCACTTCAAACATACAGGTTGAAATTGGCAATTAATTTCTGAACAGCCCGATATGAATGCTTCAGGAATCCCAAAATGCAACACTACTGTCGTAATTTTAGTAAGAATGCCAACCAGGTTTCTGTGAGATTGTATTAACTGAGTGTAACCATGAGGAAGCTAGGGCACGGTTAAGTGTTTTAAATGCTATTTAGTACAGATTCTTTGCTAACTGCATTCTTTGGACATGTAACCTTTAGCTTTGTCTGACATAAGCACTTCTATGTGAGAGATTCACATTTTCTAAATGCTAAAAATACAGAGGTGTCACTGAAGAAGCACAAGCTTCCCAGCCTCCTATCGATTACAAAGAATAAGTGGTTTAATCAACCAAATCAAGAGAAGAAACTGTATTAAATACCATGGAGCTGAAAGAGAACAAGTGAACAGTGCTAATTCAGTGAAACACACTCATGAGATTACAACAATACAAAAATGCATCTTAACTTGTGGAAATGGTTTCCAGGATTCCTTGCAAAAGACCAACTTTTCACTGCCCAATAACAATTACCACTACTGCAGGGAAATCCAATATTATTCCAGCCTTTTCTTAACAAGCATTCTGAACAATGTGAACTATCTCTCAGCCCACCCCTCAAACTATTTAGCAATGTCTCCTACTCTTAGGAACTCTAGACATATTCTTTACTTTTATCGCTTAACACAGAGTCATGTTAAATGGCTAGATCTGATTTTTCTACTTTCTTCAAGGTATTTTCATATTCAGGGAGAAATTCACATTTTTAATAGCAGACCAGTGAATCCATTTCTACAGCTGACTAAGACTTTCCACTAGAAATAAATTCATTATCTGATAAGAGTAAGTTCTGTTAACTTTCAAATTTCAAGGTATTTAATTTTCCTTATTTACATTCTCAGTCCCCTGAGTAATCACATCCCCTACACAGATAAAAATGTTTTTATCTTTAGAAGTTAAATTGCCATTTTACTCACTCTGCTTTAACTGCAATTACTTTCTCTTTGCAACACACAATTCAGGTGTTTGTCACAGGTTCATTACACCAGAAATTTGATTTAATCCTAACTGCTACTCCTGTTTTGTTGACAAGACTTTACATCCAAATATAAATACAGCAGCAATGCAGATAGAAACTGCAATCACAACTGCATGGTACAAAACACATCTGCTCCAAAAGACCATACGATACGATATTCTGGTTGTACAGCTGTAGGTTTCTCCCTTTCACACTAGTTTCTACCACCTTGCTCTACTGCTTCCCTCCCTTATTGCTAGCATATTCTCCTTATAACATTAATATGCCAGAGTCTCCCTCCTCTCCACAACACCCAGGCCTCCCTGTGGTGTCCACCTGTCATATTTCGCTAGGGTAAGAGGTGGCACAAGGTGTGCTGTGCCTAATTTGAATTCCCATGCACGCTCCTGGCTGAGGTCAGGCAGGTCAGCAAGCTACCATATACCAACAGACAACAGCCAAGTGCTTTCTTCCCACACCTGAGAGGACAAATCTACACTTCTCCTATCTACGCAGTTGCCCCTCTGCGCCTTTTGTTATAAACCTAAAAAGGATAAAAGGCTCACGAGTTATCATGAAGAGAACGAATCAGATAGCTGAACAGACAGCATGACTGCTTCACGTCCCAAGAGAATGTGACTGAAATTACCAGATATTAAACGTAGGCTTAACCAAAACTATTTGCGCAGTTGATAGGAAAAAATACCAACAGTATCATTAGTCACATTCTGATAATCTGAAAATGTGATTTCAGGAGGCAGCAGAAATTTGCATGAAGACCGAACTGCCTACGCTCGGTATCCACTACCTTTCTTAATATATACTGCGTTAAGACTAAGAGTCTGTCTACACAGAAGAGTGACACTGAATTATCTACTCTAGCATTTGTGTACATCCTTTTCCTCTTCTCCTCAATGATAATATTTATATTTTTCTAAACAATTTTTATACAGATACATTATATGATATTTGCCCATCTGAAGCTTTGACAAATAACTAACACTGCCTGTCTGAGACTAAATACTGTCCTAACCATACTGATCCTATTGAAGATTCTTACCACTAACACTTGCCTGCTGATGCAGTTTTCAGGTTTCCTGAACATACAGGTAGCTTCAAGCAGATCCCATAAACATCATGACTATTAGTCTGAAAGTGCCTACAATTCAATATCAAAGGAAAAATTATGTATGTTGTTCATTCATGTGCTGCTCCAGAGACTTGATATGTACTAGTGAACCCTCTTCCCCATGACACTTCTAATTCTGAACTAAAATTTTCAGAGACACTGTGAATAGCTACAGCAGCACAACTGAGAAATAAGATTTAAATGGTTTTACACTGCCATCAAGGCAGGAGTGTTGTGATTTAAATCTGTGAACAAAAGAAAGGGAGAGGTGGCATGTACAAAGTTGCTCCAACAAAGGAAAAGGATACATAAAGTTTTCCATCATTAATGATCATGTTACTTGAAACATTTTTAATTATACCTTGACCAGAAGCCGAAAAATAATTTTGAGAAAAGAAGCCAGGAAACTTACTCAAGTCCATGATAATAGCATCCTGCTGCTTTTTCAAAAGGCAAACCTCTGAGTTTCCAAGGAGTAAGCTCTGGTGTCAAAAGGAATGCGTTTTCACTGAAAGGAAAAAAAAATACAGATCTGTTTTGACTAGTTGCAGTCAGGATAAATTATACTTCCAGAAGTCAGAAACAAATGTCTTGACATCGGAAGACCAAAACAGCAAGGCTTGTAGTTAAGCCTCTGGGGTACAGCATCAATGGAAAATTAAATCTTTATTGAAGTCAGAATTTAAATTAAAGTAACTAATACTTACTGGGATATTATTATTACAGAAATTCTTAGACATTTCAACCAGGTTAGCGGTCCCTGCTTCAAATAATTTATCAATAAAACCAGGCAATTATCACCTGATTTCACAATGGGACACCTGAGTAGTAGAATAAACTGAGAGGAATGGGGAAGTGCCCTGCCATTTCTCAATCCACTGCTGTAATAATTGAATTCCTTTCTTTTAGCTTCAAATAGTTGTCTCACCTAACAGTTGCCTTTCCCAGACTTCATAACTAACCACTTGTCTCCTGTGATATCTGAATTCCAGCTAGTAAGTAACTCTATAGAAGTAAATAATAATATATTGGAAAGTATTTTGATGGAATAAGCCATAGCAAGATAGACAGAAAGAGCTTGCTGCCAGATCCTAGCATACCCTGTAAAGTCACATCACATTTATCTCTAAAGAAGGGAAGATATGAAGGCATGATGCAGCAGTATCTGAAACTTACACATTGCTTTACATTTTATTCACATAGACTGTCTCTACACCATTACCACTGGAAAAATTATCAGGGAAAAACATCCCAGAAAGATGGTGATGCTGAATCATAGAATCACAGAATAGTTTGGGTTGGAAGGGACCTTAAAAGACAATCTAGTTCCACCCCCCTGCCTTGGGCAGGGACACCTTCCACTAGCCCAGGTTACTCACAGCCCCGTCCAACCTGGCCTTGAACACTGACAGGGAGGGGGCAGCCACAGCTTCTCTGGGCAACCTGTGCCAGTGCCTCACCACCCTCACAGAAAAAAACTTCTTCCTAGTATCTAATCTAAATCTGCCCTCTTTCAGTTTAAAACCATCACCTCTCATCCTACCACTACACTCCCTGATAAACAGTCCCTTCCCAGCTTTTCTGTAGGCTCCCTTGAAGCACTGGAAGGCCCCTATAAGGTCTCCCCAGAGCCTTCTCTTCTCCAGGCTGAACAACCCCAATTCTCTCAGTCTGTCCTTGTAAGGGAGGTGATCCAGCCCCCAATCATCTTCATGATCCCCTCGAGCAGGTCCATGTCCTTCTTACATTGCGAGCCCCAGAGCCGGACACAGCACTGCAGGTGGAGTCTCAAGAGAGTGGAGTAGAGGGATAGAATCACCTTCCTCGACCTGCTGGCCACACTGCTCTTGATACAGCCCAGGATACCGTTGGCTTTCTGGGCTTTGAACACACATTGCTGGCTCATAATCAATTTTTCATCCATTACTACTCTCATGTCCTTCTCTGCAGGGCTGCTCTCAATCCACTCATCACCCAGCCTGTATTTTGCTTGGGATTGCCCGGACACTTGTGCAGGACCTTGCACTTGGCCTGGTTGAACTCCATGAGGTTTGCACAGCCCCACCTCTCCAGCCTGTCCAAGTCCCTCTGGATGGCACATCCCGCCAGCGTGTTGCTGGCACCACACAGCTTGGCATCATCAGCAAACTTGCTGAGGGTGCACTAAGTCCCACTGTCCATCTCTCCAACAAACATATTAAACAGCACTGGTCCCAGTACTGGAACATGTGGTGGTGTCAGCTTGTAGCATAGCCATGCCAAATGTCTATTGGTAGACTTTTGTGCACCAGGTAATTATTTTGTTATTTGAATGCATAAGAACATTATCACCTCCAGCCATTTCAGATTCTGAAAGAACTAAGTAGCTAGACTGAGGACCTAACAGTTGATTTCACTGGCACACATGTGATGCAAGGATATTCCACATTATAAACTCAAATACAGTTAGATCACTCTGAGACTCTCATTTGGCTGTTATTTACATTCCCCTACATCAGTTCTGAGTATAGTCTTCAGTGGTTTTAATATGCTGGATTCATACCGTTTGGGAATTTGTAGTGGCTGAAGGTCACCAACTGGTAGTCCTTCTGGTGTGAAATATTTCAGTAATTCTTTAGCATCAAGCAAAGTCAATGACTCCCGCTGGCTATCTTTATGCCCCAGCAATTGCTCAGAAGAATGTGCAAACATAGAAACTCTGAAAAACGAAAAAAAAAATACCAATCTAAGATTATTTTTTTTTCTTTTCAATGTAGTAATCTCATTGTATCAAAAAAAAATTTAAAAATCACTCCTAGTCTGGAGCAATTACAAGTATTTCCTAAGTAAAATGAAAAAGGTTTCTCCTTAACATTTAAACAAATGTTCATGATGAAGTATATTTTATACATATTCTCTACCATCCTACTGAAGAAAATAATTCCTTCAAGATTTTAGAGCTTGGTTATGAAATACAACATGGAAAGAATATTATTCACCCCTTTTTTCTATTTATGGACCTGTAGGACCAAAAATTAATTCCCATTAAAAAAAAAAAAAAAAGGGACATAAAATATGCAGGAAAAGAAACATAAAGCCACTACTGCATGCTTTCCACTCTATTTTTTTTTTTAGTAGCCACAACCAAGTATAGCAAAGTTCTCCCTATCCCACTTTTAAGCAACATGCTGTACACTGATTCAGGATAAGTAGAAGATAACCAGTTCAGAATACAATGAAATAAACATTAACTGACCATGAAACAGAAAGGTCCTTCAGAAGCTTTTCAAAAGCTAATTAGAAGGATGAACTTTATCTGTTTGAGAAACAAAAGGCAATAGCAATAATAATACCTATGAGAAAACAGAGATCTAATGTGAGAATTTCTGACACACAGAACTAGTCCATGGCCAGCTATGGTATTTGAAAGACAGAAATGGGATAGAAGTGACTAAGAAAAAGCCAGTTGGACACCTGGCTCTGAAGGTCTGTCAGCAAAAATGTTAAGACCCAGCAAAGATCAGTAAGTCTTATATAAAGTGAGAGCTAAACTGAAATCAATAGGTGGTATTAAGTCATACAAAATTCCACAGCTTTAACTTAAACAACACTGAAGCAAAAACAAAACTAAAATTTCAATCATAAAAATCACTGGAGACCTGATACTAAGTACTGACTATTCAGGAAATATGAGATTATAAACACATTGTACATCCTGACAAAAACTGCTGTACAATCTTTATTATTTATGCCCTGGGGCATGTTGGGGGAAAAGAAAAAGCTTTTTTAAGTTTTTCTGCTATGACTACTATTTTCTAGTAGTGCCATTCTGGCAATTTAGTTTTGGAACCACGCTAATATTAGGTTGCATTTTGTCAATAAAAATAAAAATGATACTACTATAAATACCAAGAAAATACACCGCTGGAAATTGACAGAAACTTAGTTTTAGCTTTAAGCAATGTTTCCTCTGAAAGAGTATCAACATATTTGAAAACAGTTTATAGAATGGCTATCACCATATACATTTCCTCTACAGTGATGTTCTGTGGCCAGTACAAAGAAAATCTCCAGTATGTCACCATTACCTCAGTTTTTGTTTGTTTTTTTCAAAGTTTTCCAAATTCTGAAGAACACATCTTTCCGGCCACTCTAATGGATTTGGTTCCATTAAATCAGATTCTGCAAGAAATATATGGTTAAGAATCTTATTCTTTAAAGAAACATATATACTTTTATAAGCTTTTAATGTAGATATTCCTTTATATATATAATAAAACAGTAATAATAATAAAGAAAATCTACCTGGTGCTATGATCAGAAATGTTTTCTGCATTTTTTTTGTCAAGTAAATGGAAGGAAATAGTTAATGTGATGGTAATTTCAGTTTGAAAAAAAGCTTAGAAAGCTACTTTTCCTTTTATTTTTTCGTCTTTTGGCAAAAGACTCCTTTTACTAAAACATTGACAACAGGTATGAAAATACGTCAAAAGACAGTAATCGGTGTATTTTCTAAATAACAGTACTTACCAGAAGTCACAGTGCATGACCTCGTTTTACTGGTAACCTTCTGTAGAACAGGTTTAGGAAGACTATTGTTGCACAGGTCCAGAAAACATTCCCTTGTAAGTTTTAACAAGTTTTTGAACTCATCAGTAGAAATAACTGGAGGTTGCTTGGTCAATTTCTTTCTTTCTACAAAAGCAGAGAGAAACAAAAACTACTGTACTTGCTAAGGAACAAACAATAACCAGAGCCTCATAAAAAACAACCAAACAATAAAATCCCCACCCCAAAACAATAATACAAGTAAGTTAACTTGACACTTACTGTTGTACCCTTAAGCAAGGCATGGGTGTTTTATTCTATAGGCAAGTGAAAAAACTTAGCAGTGAGAATAGCTGAAATCACATGTGAATCACCTTTTTACAGTCCTTTAATTTCTGTATATGTGTGTTTCTGTGTATATCCAGGTTTGAATCCCCCAGAGACAAACATCTGGACTTGCTGAACCTAAACATGAAAAGCTTCAGTGTGCAGAGTCTCCCACCCACCAATTTTTACTGCTTTTGCATGAGTGTGGTTCCAATATAAGTGACAGTCTGTTCCAGTCTCTCTGGTCAGAATATTAAGGGTCAGGTAATTCTGATAGGATTTAGGATGACCAGCAAATCCCAACTACTGTTAAGTCTTCATCCTAATGGCCGACCCACTCAAACTAAAACACAAGCTCTAAACCAGGCCCAAGCTCAGGGCTAAGGTAGACAGGAATCTGAGAATGACCACAAGTTGACGAGGGAGGAAGACAAGACTATTAGCAGAAATCTTATTTTCCTTAATCTGGTGTTCTGTTAATTATAATACACTGAAATTGTCTTCACAGTATGCCATTTTCAATAATCTAAGCAATCTCACAGAAGCACTTTTTGTTTTAATTGAGTCTCTTTGAGCAATGGATTTAAGACCAAAAAAATCAGGACAAATGTACTTCTCTGCAAAATCATGAAAATCTACAGAGGATGACATTTTAGTTATTATTATGAATGATGTATCATGGTACAGCCAATCTCCAAATGCATACTTCTCCTCTGCTGTTTAAGACTTTTGTAAAAAAGAATAAAATAAAAAAACCCTGAAAACCCCAAAACACAATTCTTTTATTTGTAGAAGGCAGATCCAGCATTAAGGGTTTTGGGGAAAGAAAAATTTTAAAAAAACAGAGCAGAGAAAAGAATACCACAGAATTATTCCAAAATTATGCTCAAACATTCACAGTATTAGTGTAAGAAGCACCTATCAACTTAAAATAAAGTTCAGTGTTCTCTTTTCCTCAGTATTTAAAAGTATCTGATGTACAATCATGGATATATTACAAAAAGGTTTTTTTTTAAAGCTCCACTTTTTTCTTCACAAAGTGATCAGTTCACCTCAGTTTTGTAAGGTGAGCACTCACATGCAGTTTAAAATAAAGACCTTTTAAATACTAGTTTGAGAACTACCGGTGCTCTCCCCATTACTTACTGAGATATTCCTTCAAGGCAAATACTTGGAGACTACACAGTTTCTTTTCTCTCTGTACAATCTCTTCTCCACAAAAACGTGGCAGAGACTTGAGAAAGTCAGCAGTACAAAAGCCTGTACAGACTAGAAAAAATTCATTATTAAGATTCTCTAATAATAAAAAAGGACTTTGGAAACACCATTTCATTACATCTTGAAAGAAGACATAAACACAGCAGACATACAAATTTCATATCCAAATGAAACAACCAGACTTTAAAATATGGATGATCCTTTAAAAAAAAAAAAAAAAGGAGGAAAGGAAATTAATTACAATTGAACAACAGGGGGATAACTTGGAATAGATGCCTGACTAGTATTTTTTAATTTCTGTACAAAACAAATGTAATGACAACACAATTAACATGACTGACAATTAAAGAAGGTAAAAAGATCCCAAGTTTGATACCAGGAAAGAAAAGTTTTCTCCCAACATTTGGTCAAGGACTTTCAGTCTTCTGACACCATACTAATGGGATTTTAATTAGGACAAATGGTAAGCAGTCAGTCATATCACATACAGATTTATTTTGATAATAAGCAGATAAGATGCAGGTCACTCTGCTCTTTTTCTTGTTACTGAGAGCAGATACACTAATTAGCAGTTATCTAGTACGTGTAATTGTAACAGGACAACTACTCTAAGACAAATGTCTACATGCTCTTACCTAGTGGAGCTGCTATGATATGAGTGCTAGCTCATATCTTAACCACTCTGCAGTAATACGGATATCTGCAGAGTAACTGAAGACATGATCATGAAATACAACTTGCCTGCCAGTCTTGTAGTTTTTATTTTAAATCATCAGTGAAACAGGCTTGTCAGCAGGTAGTTGTCTAGATTTTAGGCACAGGTTGGATTTATACCAACAATATATACTTTTTAAACTTCAAGTTTTTGCTAAATTGATTTGCATTAATATTATCTGGATGTCCCTCTACATTAAAATGTTTACAACTGATCAGAGTTATGAGAAATGACTGACTACAAATTTACATAGTTGATTTAAAAAATACAGTAGTAGCAAACTGTGTGAATAAATAAGCTATTATATTTTTTATCAGTTTGAAAATATATTGCTGAAAGAATAGAAATATTCATCAAAATGCAATATTCCTCCCGTTTTCTTCCTTTTAACTGGAACGAATAAAAGAAACATAGAAATGTCTATAGCATTTGCCTGCATTCAGATACTCTTAAAAAAAAAGGTAACAATTCTTACATGACTCTGTTTCTTCTGCTTTTGTCTTTAGCTTTCCATTTACTGCAGCAAAAGTGGCCGTACCATTGATCTGGCTAGCTGAATGAATTAAGGTTGCTTTACATCCTCCAGAGCCATTGCCTTGTAGCAAGAAATAATATCGGCAAGATTCTCCTTTTAGTTCAATTTCTGGAACTTAAAAAACATCAGGACATGACTGTGAAACATCCTCAGGAAAATAGCTTTAAAACAAGCTGTAATCCACCATCATAATTCTTTCACTTGCTCTCTTCTGTTCTGTGAGAAATCCTATGAACACCTTTTTTAGGAGGCACACTAACTACATCTGATAAGTATCCCTTAAAAAGCTACAAACTGAAGAGCATGCAAAATAAATGATGTACAGCAGCTGAGCTGGACCATTCTGCTAGCTTTAAGATAGCATGTTACCAGCACCAAACTCCTGTGACTGTAGCAAGGGCCAGCTTTCTAATGCAGACTACAAAGTACATCTTGCAATTCTAACCATTAACCAAGAGAAAATCTTTAATCAGTTTTAGGAAAAGACAAGCCTTTAACTGGCAAAGTTACATTTCTACCATGAAACCATAAAGAGTTAAGCAAACAGTGTGCTACATATGTAACAATTAGAGAAGGGTCTGTTCTGCTAGGTAAAACCAGGCTCTTTTGCATATGTGGATTCAAATAAGGGTAAAAGTGTTCACTGGAAGAACATGCATCTGTAGAAGAAAGAGGAAATACTGTACGTGCTCTCCCAGGGAAGCTGCATTATTCATTAATAAGTTTCGCTCACTGCTTTACACTTGTGCATAGCCTCAGCGAGATAAACACATTCTATTTTTAATCATAGGCATATAGTATGCAGTCTGGAAAATAAACTAATGTAGGACTTGATAAAATATTGAAAGGATGGGTTTGCTAGTGTTTTACACAAAAAAAGATTTTATAGCACCTTGGTAGATGGAGAAATTAAGAGAATGAATACTTCTTGATGTACTAAGTTTTAAAGGTCAAATCACTTAATTTCATAGGATATTTGCAGTACTGGCTCAAGAAATAACTCAAGAAGAGCTTGATGGGTTTTAGTATTATAAGTTTTTGTTAGTAACAAATATAAAGTATTCCAATGTTTCTTGAAAAGTTTATGTTGGAGGGGGAAGGGAAGAGAGGGGAAATCCCACTACCTCAATATATAAATCCAGATAAAGAAGAAAATAAAAAAGATTCCAGACACATTTTCATTCTTGTCCTGTTCCCCATTCCCCTAGTCATTTGAAACAGTTTCCTTTTTCAGTTTATCTTAGCATCTCAAACCCTCATGGGAAAGCTTTTATTTCTCATTTTAATCTTAATTGGTATTTGAGAACTACCAATTCAAAAAATTACACCTTCCCACAGATCAAAGAGATTAAGGATTTGCAAATACTTAATATAGTCAGATTAGTGGTAGCCACTAAAATAAAAAGTTTTCAACTAAAGGAGCAAATATGTTTAAATGGCCATATTTCTTCTCCTAAATTTTTCTTGAGGCCTAATAAGAACAGTGTATACCGTTCACACTACAGTTAATACTTCTACAAAAGACATTGAATCTTGCAGCACAGGACAAGAATCTTGCACACATTTGACTCCATCAGTACTACCTCTCCAGTACAGTATAAATGCTGCTGCTGTGATCAGCTCTATAATCATACCCTCTGCTCTACCACCTCCAAACATGCAGAGATCATTTTAAATCTATATACTAGAAGCACCCACCCCACAGAATCAATCTTCTTGCCCTATTACATAGCTCTTCCTAATTCCTCTGAGTTTTTTGCCTATCCAAAAACCAGAATATCAGTCTGTCAGCCATCCTCAGCTGCATACTTGTTTACAGATGCTATCTTCAGTTGGTAACAGAAGAAGTCACTGTTCCTTTCAATCTGCATGAATTATATATTAGACCACTGTATAAACAACAAAATCACATAAGGCAGAATCCTACATCTTATCCTGTCCTAGATAAGTACTTTAAGCACACCCAGCTCCTTCTAGCCTGGTGTTTTCCAGTCCCTACAAACCTCACAGTCACTACAGTCCCTCCACTTGCAGGGCATATATACAGGCTGACTGAGAAACTCCAGCCAGTCTTAATCTGCACTGATTCTGTTCTCTCACTTTCTGAATCAAATTTCTAAGCACTAGTACACTGCTGCCATCAGTATAGCCCCATAAAGTGGAAGGAGAACATTCTCAATCACTAGAGTTAAGCACATTGGTTCTCAGGTGAATGGCGGCATCCAGCATTTCCTGATGGTCTGTATTTTCCTGGAAAGAGGTTGAAATTGAATGCAAGCGCACTGGAAGAACCTCTGGAACTTCTTAAGTAAGAAGGGAAGCACTGAAGTGAAGCATGTTGGATTTCCATCTGCAGAAGCAAATCTCTTTGCCCCTGGATTGTACAATCACTTTAGAAAGGTATGTGGAAGCTGGATCTTAACTGACAAATAGGACACAGAACTGTTTTAAAGAAGATGCATTGTTTCCCTAAAGCTTGTCATGATGTTATTATCAATTTTCCTCTACAATGATTCTGTGTATCTGAACTCACATTCATTAAAACCTTTTGTGTCAATGAAAATTACAATCACTGACTTAATTTCACTGAAAGAAAAAAGGGCATCCCAAACATATAGTAAAAACCCACCATATACATATATACAAACACACACAATCACAACAAAAATATACCTGTAGTCATCTTCCTTCTACCTACCAGTAATGACCTTGGGCTTCCTAGCCATATATTCTTTCCATTTCTTGGTACTCAGCTGGGCAGGGGATGGGATCACTACACTGCTTATATTACATGGCAATGTAAATAAAGCTCCCACCTAAATAATGAGAGCAAATACAATACATGCAATATTACTGAAACCTGTTTTACATTTCATTCTTGAGCTACTGATTTGGCATTATTTTAAATGTACTTCAATTGAAGAAAAACATCTTTACTTAACACTTCTCTCATTCACATCAGTTGAGACACAGAACTATAAAATTTTTTTTGCTCCAGTTGAGAGATCATTGCTGAATTTCTATTTCATACATAAAAGGGTATTTGTTACCTATTACAAGTCTTTCAATAATCTGGCTAAAAACCCTTCTGTAAAGTAGTATGCAGAATGAAAAGAGAATTCAAAGATATAGTTGGCATCAGCAACTCTGCATTCCTTTGAAAAACAAGCAATTTTTTTTCTTCCTACATATCATCCTTTTCAATTAATTAGGCACTGGACTATGTTTATGTCTGCACATAAATTTCAGGTCCATAAGCACTAGTAGAAAAAAAAGCGTAAGTATTTGAACATTCAAGCAATAAGATGATGCTTTTAGAGCTATTAGAAAAGCCTACAAATGTGTAATATTTCCAGGAGTAGAATGAAAAAAAAAAATCCCTATGAGAAATTGTTACCTTTGAAAACATATTCAGTTCACCATATGCAGACTCTAAAAAGTAGCCTGAGAATATGTTTTAACTGTTTTGGCTTTTTCTAAAAAAGAACTAGTAAAAATGCAAGCTATTAGATTGTAAAAGATTTTTGACCAAATGTCCAGTATCCTCATGTAAAATGAAAATTACCTGGGATATTTACCAATATAAAAACTATTCCAAAAGATATTTTTTGTACAGTATTAGAAAAAGGACTTCTTTTTTTTCTGGCTAAGCATAATGGAGAATGGAATGGCAGGGCAGGAAAAACGTTACTAAAAAAACTAAACAACAAGCTGAAGATAAAACATACAGCCTGATGATGGAATACCACCTCCACAGTAAATAAAGAATATAAGTTATTCATTAGAACTGTATCAGTACTTTCTGCAAGCTCTGTTTTGATTAGTGTATATAAAATAAATCTATGCCAAAACCAACTTTCCTAAACAAGCATACATCACCTTAAACATTCAGGAAAAACATCTTCAAACTAATACTGTGGGTATGAATACTCATCCTATCATTCCAAGGAAAAAAGAAAAAAAAGCGCTTGTAAATGTTTCAAGAACTCTTTTTATCCAAAATCAGAAAGGAAAACCAGAATGTGCACATGCAAAATAAAAAAGCTTATTACTTCAGACTAGCTGCATGCATCTGCCTTCTGCTAAAAAAAATAGTTGCATTATGTTAGCACAGAAATTTTCTGTCAGGATAGGATTACAATTACAAAATGTTTTAGGAGATCGAAACTTAACTAAGGTAGAGAGAAAAGCATTCAGCAGGCTTACAAATTGTCAGGACCTGTATAGCAAACACCTTTAAAAGACAAATTTGCTTTAGAACTAAATATTGAAGGAGCTTCCACAGAGACTAGGTTTAAAAATACTATTCTATCTTTTATTAGCAATATGCATTTCTTCATTTTTCTGCTATACCGAAATAAAAAGTTTTTACCTTCCCAGGGAGAGAAGAAATTTGGTCCAAAAGCAGTGTAGATGCCTCCTTGACACTCTTTCTTGCCAGGCTCCTGAACAGAACAGTTTAAGGAACCTCATCTTCACAAAGCACTATACACATCTCTAACTTACAAATCACGTTACAAACATATTTCAAATATGGACTGCAAGTGTCTAATATTTGATAATCCACTACCACAAAATATACGAAACTCACCTTTCCAGGCAAAATGGTACGCTTCGAAATGTTATATGGCAAACTACACCACTGACATCTTTAATATAGGTAGGCATAAACAGATATTTTTATATTCAAAATCCTGACAGTCTTATACAGCCTAAGCTACTACTGTTACACCAAGACTAGTACCAAAAAGTACATAAATTTAAAACAAAGAGGAATACACCTTGAGATCTCTGCAGCATACACAACTCAAGAGAAAACTCCGCTGCTGTACCTTACTGCAGATTTTGCACCTACACAATAAAAACATGATTTGTGGAAAAATGTTTCTGTATCACGAAGCACACTATATACATTAATGAGTAAGTCTTGGATTTATTTAAGCTTACACAGCAGTAAATATTTCTCTCTTTTTTCCTCAAAGCATACGCATCAACAGACAAAGTATACGTGCAATAATATAAAAAATAACTGGTTATTGTTAGTGTAATTTAATTTTCAGCATCAAAAAATCCAGATATGAAGAATTACTATGGCAGGCTAGAATGGAATGAACCCTTGTCAACTCTCATGGGTTGCTTGCATCATGATTGTTTTCTTTATGCTGTAGACCACTATCAGTAGTAGATATCAGATTTCCCATTATCAGATCCTTAAAAAAGGATACAGCTCAAATTCCAGATCCGATACAAAAAAGGAAGGTAGATCAGAGAGCACCACCATCTGTAAAAATTCTAGCGCAGGACCATAGTAATGAAAAACCTGAAAAGAGATCAAATCAAAAAATCTGTAACACTATATATGTATGTTATCTCAGTAGAACTTCCTCAAATGTTTTGCTAGAGTCATTTGTCTTACAAGTGCAAGAAAAAGAGGTATAGAGGAATACAAAAATATTTCACAATACCATATTAAACATAATTATATAAAAAAAACAGGAAGATATTAAATTGTGTTTAATAAAACTTAATTTCTAGAATGTCCACCATGTGCATCAAATGAGTTGTAACTCTTATCTAAATTCAAGGAACAGACAAATTCAATCCAAAATGTACATATTTTAACAAAGAGAATAATAATCTCTTAACTGATAGCAGTTTTCATAAACATTCATTTTTGTTTTCATCAATAAATATGATTCTGTTTATCTACTTTCAGTGCAAAACATGAAAAAGCAACAGCAATTAAGAAAAAATACCAACCAAACAACAAACTTTTAAAATGAAGTAGACAAGGTTAGATAATCACAGATATCATTAATAAATTACATATTTTTAATATTATTTTGAACGAAGTCTGAATTTCTACTTGAAAAAAATTTTGGTATTGCATTGCAAAGAACAAATGGATGAAATTTTAAAGACCTGTTATGAGAACACACATGAACAAAAGAAGTATTCTTCAATCTTATGTAATCATTACTTTTATGTTTAATTTTCAATTCTGACCAAGGTTTCCCCAATTACTAATTTTCTCAGCAAAGTAAAAGAGATGAATTCTGGTGGCTCAAAGAAAGATCAAGAATAATACCTGCCTCTGGCAAAGCATCGGTATTCTTCAGTTGTTGTTCTTTTTTAACAGTGAAGAAAGAACTTAAAGGTGAAGTGCTGAATGTCTTTGCTGAAGTGCTCTTCATACAAAATTCTGGAAACCTAACTTCTGATCCAAACTGGAAAAAAAACCAATAATAAATGTGTCAAAAGAGAGATAATTATTTCTCTTCAGCCAGTTACATGTATAACTACTTTAAACAATTAGGATTATATTTGTTTGCAGCAGATCTGTGAAATTAGGTAAAAACATTAGACTTAGATAATCATCTACTGGAGGCAAAACCTTAATACTGAAAATGTAAACAATGTATTCCACAATCACAAAGCTATCAGTCTTTGCAGAAACATTAGAGATGTCTGCAACACTGATTTAAGAGTTACCTGATAATGATTTGTGATAGATACAGAACAATCTAATTTTGAACAAGCAGTTCTAATGCTAATATTTCAGAGGAGAGCATCTGGATTTCTGAAATTTAAATCTCAATGCCTTGATCTCATTTATCCTTTCATCATGCTGAAAAACAAGTTGTTCCCCCACCCACCCAGATACACTGCACATTACCTCTTTGAATTACACTGTCAAAACTAAATCTGGCTTAAAGCATAAGATGTACTGTACATTGAATGCTTTAAATGATGTTCACAGATGCTTTTAAAAAATAAGCATAGCTTAAGTTATTTTACCTTTCTTTCCCATATCTGAATCTTTCCTCTCCAGAGTTCTTTTATATCAATAATATTCATTACATTATCTGAAGATACAAAGTCTGCTGATAGATAGTCTGCAATCTTTTGCCAGCTACTGTAAAAATAAGGAAGAATTAGTCTTACTGAATTTAGGATTACAAATTAACATGCAGTGCAATTTGACTGAATTTACCTATTACCTCTTAGCACTGAATAGTCTGGTGTATGTTAAGACAGGCATATATAGCTTTATATTCCAAAGGAAAGAATTGTTCATTCTATAAAAGAAGCTGTTCATATGCTCCATGAATGTGAGAGCAAAGAACTTTGTCAGACTTCAAATAAGACTGGCAATGGCAAGCTGCAGGCATACCATAGTAAGGTTAGGTGCTAGAAGCTGAAGCAAAATCAGGTAGCCATCACTGGGGCTATGAATAGACCATCTAGATGTTTTGTAGTTAGCCTTGTAAGTAAAGTTACACCTGCAGCACAACTATTGCCCAAATTCAACAACAGAGAGAAAGAACAGCCAGCATCTGTGGGTCCTACTTGCAGTTTCTCTTCTAAGAGAAATCAGCACCATCAACGGAACAGGAAGAGCGATAGAACTTTCATCAGAGGAACTGTGTGACCAAATGGCCTCATTTTACATAAAAGACGCCAAAAGATTTATTCAGTCAAAAATTGGGTGCACAGGAAGATATCACTGAGCACTGAGATCATGGAAGCCACTGCAATAAGTTTATCTTGCTCCATATACCTTCGGAAGTACTATATAGTAGGTATACTTCTTATTCTATCCAAGGACTGAGCATTCAAATTTTTAACTTTAAACAGTTTTATTAACTTAGGGTTAAGCTTAACCACATGTTCTACGAAGCAAATTTGAATCTTTTGGGTGTGGATGGGAGGGGAAGTGGAGGAGACCTTGCCAAGTATATTCAATATCCACATAATAATTTACAGCATGGGAAAAAAGACACCAACAAACTAGTGTGGTTTATATTGAGACATATCATGGACTACTTATGTCAATTATAGGAGGATGGTAAGGAAATTACTGGACTTAATTTCAAAATGAATTAATAGTTTCAGTGTTAAGACTCCTCAGCAGCATACAGAAAGTAATAGAGCATTTATACTCCATTTTCAAAAGGGATAAATCAGACACTTTTTTTCTCCCTGAAATGTAATACCAGACATAATATAAAATTTAAAGTAAAAGCAGCAGAGTTATGCATTCATCATACAAAAAGGGGAAAACTACAATCAATACAAGTTATTACGTAGCATAGTAAAACTTCAAAACATTGTATGTACACCGAAGCCACTAGTGATGGAATGAGAAAATATTTTAATTCTGCTCTCATAGAAACAGGAACTTGTTTTTTTGCCTGTCTGTCTGGTTAGAGCATGTATTTACAACAAATTAGCATGAATAATTCCTCCCCTCAAACAATAATAGAAGACAAATCTATGTATTTTCAAAGTATATATGTAAAGTACTCAGGACACTTTTTATTTTAAACCACTGACAGACAAACACAAAACAAGAGCAACCTTCTTTATAGACCTAAAATAAACGCCGTACCCTTTAGAGTCATTTGCTGCAATAGTGATTTGTGCAGAGTGCCATTCTCTCAGGTGCTTCAGGGCACCAATAGCAGGTAAGCAGTCTTTTAGCTTGGGTCCATCTTGTTCAACAGCCTGCAGTATTACATCAACAATTGCTCTGCCTATAAAAATAGTTAATATATGACTCAAAGTACAATTATTCAGTAAATGATTACATCATTTAGAGGTAGAAAAGTACCGATTATCACTGACTGCACTAAAATGGGCTTAAAGATCAACTTCAAGTAACTTCAGGAAGATTTAAACCACTTTTCATGCACTTTAGCTCATCTCTCGCTGCTCCTCTTAAGATTAACATGAAGTGTTTTGCTGTTGAGTTATAGCTGTCCTATACTTTTCTCTCTCACTCAGCACTGTATTTGACAGATAGAGTTGTCTCCAGCACAACTATGCTATGCCATTTTCCTCCTTTTAACACGCTAGTTCTCATTCTTTCTGCATTCAGTTTCTCTGCTATCCCAAATCAACATTATGTAACTGCAACATTATGTAACCCTAACATGCAAGGTGATACGAGTCTACAGTTCACAAAATATTAATCCAATAATTTTGATCTATATTCCTTCACAGCTTCTTGGCTCCCATCCACCAGCAAACAGCTGGCAAATCAGATGTAAACCCCATGTCAACACCTTTCATTCTTTCATAAACTTCCTGTAGTTGCATGTTGAGTTTCGTATTGCTTACTGTCTATTACTACTTTGGTGCCATTTCAGATGGAAAAATTAATTATATAACTACCTTAAACTCTACTGAAATACAGCCTTCCAAACAAACAAGCAGTGAGCTTCGATAAGCTGATTTGCAATGCTATTCATGCTCAAGATCCTTAAACTACTTGCAAGGGCTGCATACAAGTTATTTCAGCTAACAAAGTCACATCCCTGAATTTTTCCATTTGACTATGATTTTACCAGCTGACTTTTTAGAGTAATAACTAACAATATAAACTCAAATGAGATTGCTTTTTTAAGAGAGATTACCTGGGGCAGGCAGTTTATCAGCTAACTGATGCAGACTTTCTGCAGCTTCATCAAAGATACTGAAAATGAAGAGCAACATGGTTGGAAACAAATTATAAACAAAGTAATTTAGAAACAAAAAGTTATAATTAACGAATACTGCCTCATGTAAGTATCTTATATCTTTAAAATTCTGTACAAACATAACTAGGCAATGAGATATATTTATCTACCCTTTTACTGAGGCAGAAGTAGGCTAAGCAACTTCAAAACAATCTGCAGTAAAACTGTAACTAGGATTCAAGACGGATTAGCAAGAAACTTCTTTTTATATGTATATAACTGTCAGCTATTAGGAAATTGTTCAGTTATTCTGTAAAAACCATCTGTAGCTAAAAGAATGAAAGCACTACTGAATTAAACAGAATTATTTTCAGTAGTAGCAGGCGCTTGTTCATAGTTAACTGTTGCTTTGGTAATAACTTGTTAAAATTCCTTGATTCCCTTGGGTTATTATTGTAAAATGCCAGATCACTGTACTTTCAATAAAAATAGTAATATGTATACTCAGTCATAGACAGTGAGTCTCTGCTGTTATTATCATCTTCCTCAAAATTTTGTATGGTTCCCAGGCATTCGTCAGTACTTGTTTGGAGAGAGTCTTCATTTTTCTGTGTGTCAAAATTTATTTCCTCCCAGTCAGAACTGCAGAACTAATCAAACAAAAAGAATTAATTAAGCAAAAATAATTTTGAATATCAGAGTTGTAACTTGTAATAGAGACAGGAATTTATATTCAGAAAAAAAAAAGTCTTACCTGATAGTAACCACATATAACATGACTCGCAAAATACCATTTCTTTACACCTGTAATACCAGCCACTGAACATGCTGCAAAGAGATAAACCAATTATTTAAAATAATCCACTACAATCTATTCTTCCTATTATAATGAACATCTCTGTTAAAAAACTCTTCATGAGTCATTTAACGTGCCACAAGACTTGAGTTCTGTTTTCCTTTGGCATCATAATTAAGTTCTAAATGTATTAAGGTGTAGGTAAGTGTCTTGGCAAGGATCTGTTACTGATCCTCTAACTTAATTATTAAGAAAATCTTTGATCTCCATTCTGGGCAATATTGCTCTCCATTTGCAGAAGTTGTATCATACCTGGACTAAATCACAACTTCTATAAATATGGTTTACGTAGTTCACAAAATGAGATGCTCTCTCAACATTTCTATACAATAAAAAGCACAGGTGTCAAAAACAGCATAACATTCCCAACTTCATGAGTTTTAACAGCTCATAGCTGTTTCAACAGCTGTGACAAGATAAGCCTGAATAGCTCAACACCAGATATTCAAACCAATTAAAGGGCTAAGAAAGAATTTTTTTAACAAAAAACCCCTCAACACCCAACCCTAAAAGAACTAAAGCAGATATTCAGAAACCCATTTTAAAATGATGAAATTATATAAATATTAATGGTTAGGGTTCTGAATTGACACCCAAAAGATAAATATTGCTGCTACTGAAAAAATTAGAAGATACACAGGAATAACAAAAATATCAAACTGCCCACTGACATGAGAAACAAACCCCTTCCTACTCATCCTTGCTACACTGGATTGAAATTCGTCAATCTTTTAACACCCTTCACTTCTATTTCTTGTGTCCAATCTATCTAATCATCTCCTAACATCTCAGCTGCTCAAATGACATAAATTCTCCACAGAAACAGTAGCAGCAGGAGTTACATCTGCAGATTTACACACACCGCCAAAACTGGCTTTCCTTAAGTTTCTGACTTGTTTCACTTAGATCATAAAATCTGCCTAAGCCAATTCCTTGATAAAATTTACCTTACTGTATTTACCTGGGAACGTGTTCACATCTGCATTTATGGATGAGTTACAGCTTTCTTTAAGGTACTGATAAACAGCTGAAGCAGTTCCAGCTGGGGAAAAAAAAAAAAAAAAAAGGAAAAAGAAAAAAGTTTTTCTTAAAAACTACTTAATTACAGCAGTATTGCTTTCTTGCAAATACAGCATAAAGTTCAGTTTAATATTAGGTGTTTAGTCTTAAAGGAAAAAAAAAATCAACCTGTGAACTTCAGATTTACAGGAGTTTAAAAGGACAAATCTTGTAAATTCTCATTGAAGCATCGCACATCTCAGGGACGCTTTACCGAGTTACATAGCAGTGTCGCGATAAAACAGAAAAGCCTGTAAATTCCTGAAGATTTAAGTCATTAAAGACTCAGTCTGAAACCCCCCCCGGTGGATTTAACGAGGTAGGGATCTAGAAAAGCCCGGGCGAGCGCAGACCGCAGACCCGCGAGCACAAGGAAAAGCCCTCATGAGGGCAGCTCGGGCGGGCCGGGCGGCTCCGCGCGGCCTCCAGCCC